CTATTAATCACCACTTACACAGGGAATATGTTTTTAAATGAACCTGCTGATTCATTTTTACCAGCAAAGTGGTGCCCAGATAAGGCGAGTCCAACATTTAACAGAGCTCCACCTCTTCACAGCTACATTATGTTTCCACCCGGCTGACATTTAGTAAAGCCCTCCCCTGAAACTAATTCCCCCCTTTAGAAACACTCATGAAGGTGTAGCCTTCACCTGGGACGAGTATGTTTACAGCTCAGACAATAAAAGTTTATGACCCTCAATGTTTAGAGAAGGACATCCTGAAATAAAATTTGATCTTTGAAAAACATTGTGGTTATTTCTGGCTGGCTGACTGGAAACAACAAGTCTGATTCTGTAAATATGATCACATCTGTCTGTGCCTGGGTAAAAAGGCAAAATAGTAAAAGCAATGGCAGCAGCTGGAAGTCTTTTGTCAGATATAATGTTGAATAATGAGTATGACTGCAGAGCTTAAGGGCCTATGTGCCTTATAAAACACTATCATTATGTATTTTGACCTTTGTTTTGGATGGTGATGACATGAAACAAATAAAAAGAGAAACAAGAGGGTGAGGCTTTAAAAACAGGCTAAAAGTTTAATAAAAATAGTCTCAACTAAACACGAGCACTATCACAATATGGAACAATTTTAAAGGGTGGTCATTTCTCTCTTTTATTTGGCTGTCACACTTTCACTTTGAAAATTAGACACTTTCTCACAGTAGAAAGGTCAGCTGTGTCCCAGGCCAGCTGTTTTATTCTGTTAATCTGATTGGCTGTCACAAACCTCCCTCGTCTTTTCCGTAACTATTATAGTTTGGATTGGCAGCCTCTAGGTAGAGAAAAGTCCAGGAGTTAAAAATAACCGGCTGAATCTTTTTTTTTTTTTTTTAGATTAAGTGAGTTTCCGGGATGAATAACTCTGAAATGGTTTCTTTTCGAGTAATTCTCTTTTAAAAGGAGTTGAGAGATTTGTTGGAATGAAGGCTGGAAAACACACAAGACAATCAGTGTCATCACACTTTGTCTTTTAATGGATTGAACAAGTGCATTTGGTAATTGTTTGATGGGGAAAGAAACAGTTTTACCACTTGGACACTCTTTTTTATTTTATTTTTATCAGGGAGAAACATACAAAATGAGTCCAATCACAATTGCACATTTGTGGCAAAGCAAACAAACATGCCCAATTAGACTAACATATTCTCAAGTCTATTACACTCCCTTTCATTTTATAATATGTAAAGTAAGAACATTTGAACAATGGATGTCACATTTTCTAATTTTCCACAAGATCTACCAATATCAGTTTCTGGTTGTCCAAGTAGTTTAATAGTCTGGTACTTCAAGCCATGTATCAGAGGTATTTAGAGCAGTTCAGGTCTCCATGCTCTTATATATCTGATCCATTTCCACCAACGTCTCTTAAATGTCTCTGACTATAGTCCCAGAGTGAATGTCAGTCTCTGTAAATGTAAATTTCATGAACAGTTCCTTGCCAGTCTTCCAGTGTCAGTGAGTTGGGTTGTAATCACTTCCTTGTTATAGTCTTCTTTGCTCCAATCAGTAATATCTTCATTAGATATTGGTCTGCTATTCCTTGAGTACGCAATGCCATGGTACCAAAATACATTAAGCTGACATCAATGTTAGTAATTTGAAATATGTATTCTAGTCAATTATGAATATCATGCCATAAATCAAAAGTTTTGGGCAATCCCAAAATAAAATGATAACAGTTGGCTAAATCTGAACCACACTTCCTCCAATAACTTGCTCAACCACCTTGATGTTTCTTCTGAGCCGGTGATATAAAAAAATATCCTGACATTTTTCCATCCAATTTCCCGCCAGCTATGTGAATTTGTGGTTTTCCACTTTGGATACTCTTAAATCCATTCATTCAGGATTATCAGTTTAGTTGAACAAATGTAACCCTCACTAACTGTCTTTATACCACTGTTTTTAAAATTTTCTAAACTGTTTTCTAAACTATTTAACACAGGCATCCCCAAAACAGTTAATTAGTTTACTCTTCACATAATGCTTCAAATTTCTGTCATTACAGTATTACATTGGCTCTTAGAAAAACTGTATATGTTAAAGGAAGGAGAATAGAAATAGGAATAAGAATAAATAAGAAATTGTAATGGATAGTAAAAAGTTCAGAATATTAGAAATAATGCTAATAAAGCTTTACAAAGCAGAGATTGTTTTGTAAAACATTGACTACCTACAAGCATAAGAGTGTATACAAAACCAGCTTGTAGTCAAGGATATTGCACAGAGTGAATAACACAATCTGGAGTTGCATAAAAACAAAAAGCCTAAACATGTCCTGTCCTCCCACACAAGCCACGCCTTATCAAGTCTTTACCTGTCTCTTTTTAAAGAACATGGTATTTTATCACAAAAATAAGCATGAGTCACAAGCTTCTGTCCAACCCAACACAATCCAGAAATAGTAAAACTTGGATTCAGATGGTACAGTAAATAGTCAGTGATGGTTAAAAGTAAAATTCTTTGTCTCTGGATAGTAGAGGTTTTCTGATTTGCAGTTTGCTGACTCCTCTCCTCCCCAAATGTGTTTTTTCAATCAATCTCCATTACTGTAAACCCACATTTAGAGGAGGCTTCATTACACATCATGTCTGTGTGAAAACCACAGAGACAAAGAGGGATGGAGTGCAGCGGTGGCCTTGATTATTTTCCACCAGTGTGAGAGCACTGTTAATGTCTTTGCCCTCCCTCTCTTTAGGGCCTGAGTGTTTAAACAGGACTCGACTGATGGAGTAGGCGAGGGTTGGAGGAGGAGGAGAAGCAGGGGAGAAATATGGAGGTGGCAATGATGGACAGCAGCAGAAGAAAGGAGAAAAGGGGCTGATGTAGGAGAGGGAGGGTGGGGGGGGGACTCACAGGCTGAGAGCCGAAGCTAAAGCTGTAAACAAACCTGCCTGTGGAGGTGATAAGTATGTTGGCAACCACTGGCTCTATGGTAACTGTCCATCACACTCGAATGCTCCCCAGCAAAAGGAGCTTGTTTTTAAAAGCTCACACACGAAAATAAAAATATTTAAAATGATCTCACACACAAAAATTAGGTCCAGATAATATGCAAAGACTAGAACCACAGAAAACAGATTTGTCTATTTGTAAAGTTCAACTAGTTTTAAAGGTATCTTACAGAGAACAAAGTTATATAACCCCCAAGGCATATCATGTTGGCTGTGACGATTTTGTTACTTTTGACACAGTAATGCTAGCCTCCCTTTTGCTTTTAGTTTTGAAGCTAAGTTTAAGTTTACTGGCTGTAATTGTTGGCTTCCCGGTTTAGCGTAGGCTCAAACAGGATGAGTGACAAACCTGACTCACTCTGGGCAAAAATAGTAAAAATATGAATTTTCCATGATTATTTACATATCTTGTGGATTTTGTTAGATTTTAGTCACCATAGTGAATTGGTGTGGTTAGAAACCGTGACACCCCTATTATTCACAGTGAGAAGTGGTGTATGAAGTTACATCTTCAAGTTAGACTGATTAGTGACAGATGTTGAAGACTTGGTTTCTACGTATCTTAGCTGTTAGGTCTGCTGGTTTCAGAGACTCTAATTACCATAATAAGGGTGAGACGAGATGCATGCAGACAAAAAGAAAGACGCTCTCAAACAAAAGTTCCATATTAGAGTGCCACCATATACTTGCCTCTACACTTATTCTATCATTACACTTACCCCTGTTTTTGATCTGAAAACATTCATGAAGAGCCTGAGTTTATCTTTGTCCAAAAGCTGGAATATTTGGTAACACTTTACAAAAACCATAATTTATAAATGGGAAATAGTTTATTAATGTTTAGTCATCATTTTAAAACAGCTTATAGACCAATCATAAATGGTAAATAGATAGTTTATAAATGTAAGTTAATACTTACTTTACCATTAACAAGCAATGAAATTATGATTGATCATTTTTATTAATTATTTTAAGTTTATATAGGGTTTAAATATTGGTTGTAAAACATCTAGATTAAAATGTGTGTCAGTAGCACTTTGTAAATGGTTAATATTTGGTTTTTAAACCACCTGTAAACATTACTTAGATGGTTATTGTAGGATTAGGGTTAGGTTTTTAAAATTGTAAAATTTACAATTTATTGATGGTCTACAAGCTATTTATAAATGATGATTAAACATTAATTAACTATCTGCTTACCATTTATAAATGGTCTATCAACTATTTAATAAGTTATGGTTATTGTAAAGTGTTACCACTTTTCACGTTTTATGTTTGCTGGTGGATTTGATCACTTTTGTACAGAGGGAGGTAAACTATTTCTCTGTTTTTGTTGTTTGGTAGGTTATTTGTTGAGCTTTTCTATAAAGAATATCAATGAACGCACAAAGTCTGGGTAAGACTGTAAATAGGGAAAAAGCTCAAATTGCCTGATTTAATTTAATTTAATTAATTAATTTAATTTTTTGGACCTATGAGCAGATTTTGGTTGATCTCAATCTTCCTTTAATTAACAATGAGTTTGAACTGTATATGTGTCAGCATGTATGAATTGGGATCTTTCAAGCGTGTGTGCCCTGTTTGTAATTTTGCCTGAGTGACCAAGCTAGTGTATCCTCTAATAAAAATAACTTTTTCACTTCTCTAAAAAGTTCTAAACTAATCTTATGACCCACTGTCACTATGTAAGAGATCATGTGGTAGAAACTACCTCACTCTTTACTTCCCTCTGTAAAAAAAGCCTATACAGTCACATACACAACCTACCACCTCGTTTCATATCTTCCATTCATGGTGACTCCAGGGAAAAGGAGTCATCCAGTCACATACTTGTGAAGTTGAACCGCTGCGGCTCAAAATGAGTTTCTATGACGGCCCACATGAGCGAGACTACTTTTTCTTTCCTGCTACGTTTTTTCTGACCTCACTAACCACATCCTGCAGCTCTCAGCAAAGGCTCCAAGGAATGAAACAGTAACCTTTTGTCTCTGGAAATTTTTCATCTTTTATTAATGCAATCCTTTTTACATAAAGCACTTCATATAAAAATCATGATACACAATATTCACACATTGTAAATTAAGTTAAAATAAATAATAAATAAATAAGCAATAGTGCACGGGAAAGTCTCCCAGTGGTAGTTGTGTTGTGTGTGCTAATGCAACGTCTTTAAAGTTGCTGTTTAAATTAAATAATTGATGCCACTGTGGCTGCCTTTCCTGCAGCTCTGTATATACAGTACAGGTGTGTCTTTTAGAGGCAGACGCTGCCTGCAGCTTAGTTTTCACAGTCTTTCCTCACAGCTTCATGTCTCCTTTATCCTCTTGCTTGGACTAAAGTTGTTTCACAGCCTTAGATCTCCACAGTACGTTCCAGCTCAGAAGTCCACAGACTGAGGTTTTAGGTGAACCCTCTCAGTCTCTAGTGTGCATCAGAAAGCACATGTCCCATTGTTGGGATCGTACGCTGCTTGCAGAACAATTTTTAAGATATTTTTTAGCCTGTTTTTGGCTTTCTGGTGACTTCCAGGTATGTTGTAGACTTAAGGAAGCGGGGGTAGCAGTCCTTCTCCATCAGGGTGTAGATTTTGGCCTGGGCCAGGTCAAAACAGGACTGTCCTGGGTGCTTCATGTTCTCTTTTGTGATGGCTTTGGTCAAGTGGTCGAGATTCACCTGTAGAAGAAGAAAAATACAGATTGTTAGCAATTCACGTTAAGAATAGAAAAGCCAGCAGAGCTTACTGAAATGTTGTGAAGTTTTACAGTATTTACCTCTCGTGGAGCATCAGCACCGATAAACTCGTCGTAAATCTTCTTTGCTTTGCTGGCCTGTTTGGACGGTTTTGTTGCCTGGTAGTCCTCACAAGCCAGATAGAAAGCAATGTTTTCCTCACTGAACTCAGAGACCAGGAAGGCTCTGAACAGGCACAGTCCATCTAGAAGAGACAGAAGAAAACATCTGATTAACATCTGGTCATCATCTGAAATCTGGAGTTAGTAAAACATCTGTATTAAGTCTGATTGAAGGACTTACTTTGACTGGACAGCAGCTTGTCAAACGACTCCTTCCACTTCAGAGGCTCGTCCACATTCAGTCTGCTGTAACAGAGACATATATCATGAGGAAAAGCCTTTCAAATCACCACTGTGTATTTTATTTTCACTAACATGCTTCAAGGCAGAATTTGACTGTGTGTCTTACCTTAGTTTCTCATTTTTCTTTGACTGGCTGGTGATGCTGTGCTCTGATTTGTGTAGTAAACTCCCAAACAAAGCTTTCAGCTCCTTTGCCCTGAGGAAATAAAACAAGACAGCAATGTAATAAAGGTAATTAAGTCCTAACATAAAGTAAGCAGAGTACAAGACAAATTATTTCTATGAAAAATAAGAGAAATGTGATAAACCCCTTACCTCTCCAGGCAGGTGCTAGGCAGTGAATCCAGTCCTCTGCACATGATGAGATGTTGGATATTTCCAAAGATTGGGCTGTTAGTTTGTGGTGGATGTCCAACAGAGCTTTTCTCCGCTGCTTACTCTGAGTGAGCTCTCAGCTTGTGTGCCGTCTGTGTGGCTGAGTGACTTCTTATAGGGCAGTCTGCTCTGTGACATCACGCCCCTCAGCCAATCAGATCAGATGTGTGGGATGATGGGGGAGACTCCTCGACATTGATTTTCCCCCAGACGACTTCCTCCCTGCTGGACAGCATGAGTGATGAAGACGGAATTACTTCACAGCTCTCAAATGTCTGAGCGCCCAGTCAGGGTGTGTGAATCTGAGCATGTGTGTGAGTGTGGGAGGTAGGTTTAGGAGTGTGAATGAGTGTTGTTACATTTTATCACTGACATGGAGGGACACATTTCCTGAAAAAGACAGAAAATCCCCTGTAGAAAGGATGTTAGGATACAGTTTGCCTAAAAAAACATCAAGGTTTGGCTCAGTGGGACTTCAGATTCCCAAAACTTGTTCTGTTCGAAGAATGTATTTGTCATTTTAACCAAAATGTTTTCAAGCTTTTTAGTTTAAGAGAGCAAAAAAAAAAAAAAAAAAAAAAAAAAAGAGTGAAAGAGTGAGCCAACGAGTGAAAGCATAGATCTTGTTTTAAGATACTTCAAGCCAAAATTAGGGACTTATATTAGTGTAAATGTCTTCCGGATGATATTATTTTGATACACTCCTTTGTTAAATCTTGGTTTAAACAATAAATGTCTAATGAAAAATGTACTAAAATATTTACCTTGAACTAAAGTCATATAAATAATACATGTCTTATCAGGATTTTGTACTACTTTTTAGTCAGATATTTTGTTTCATTCTAATTTATTTTAACATAATTGGATAATTATCAAGTTTTTATTACTTAGGCTGGTTACACTTTACAATAACCATAATTTATAAATGGTAAATAGATAGTTCATTAATGTTAAGTCATCATTTTAAAACAGCATATAGACCAATTACAGATAGATAGTTTATTAATGTAAGTTAATAGTTACTTGACCATTAACAAGCAATGAAACGATGAATGAAATGATTAATCATTTTCATTAAACATTAATGGACCATTTTTTAAAGGTTTATATAGGGTTTAAATATTGGTTGTAAAACATCTAGATTAAAATGTGTGTCGGTAGCACGTTGTAAATGGTTATCATTATTTGGTTTTTAAACCATCTATAAACATAACTGAGATGGTTATTGTAAAGTTGCAACTGATGTTTGTAATACTTTGTAAATGATTGATTTGGTTTATTAACCACCTATAAACATTACTTAGATGGTTATTGTAAAGTTATGGTTAGGGTTAGGTTTTTCTTTTTTTTTAATTGTATAATTTATAATTTGTTAATGGTCTAGTTGCTATTTATAAATGATGATTAAAAATTAATGAACTATCTGCTTACCATTTATAAATGGTCTATTTACCATTTGTAAGGTATGGTTATTATAAAGTGTTACCCTTTGACCAAAGTTATTCTTATTCTTGTAACAGTCAGAAACAATGACAAAAACTGCTCAAAAACTTCAAATAGCTCAAAGGCACTGCACATGTGGAAAAATATAAGACTAAGTGGGGTTTCTTTATCATAAGTTTTATAACCTTCACTGGCCTGATGATTTGGGGAGACCCACTTTTGCATGGACCTTTACAGGTCAGCTGTTCACTGTTAACGTAAAAACAACTGTCTTCTGGTTTTAGTTGGTACTGAAGTTAAATCATAACTAACAGATGTCGTAACAGCAAGTCAAGGGTCACATCACAGACACATAGACCGTATATTAAAGATGGCAGATGTGCGTGCATAAATTGCATATTCATTTATGTCACACATACTATTTGATGCATTACCTTTATTACGAAATGGAGGTCCTCACAGATGCAGAAACACAAAAGTGTGTTGCTCTTGTGTGTCATTTGGAAACAGTTACACAATCCCTGTCTGGACCATCGTTTTGATCCGTCTTTTTCTGTTCAGGTATGTCTAAGTAAAAATAGTTGTTCCTATAAATATCAGTACAGGATGGAGAAAACTATTGTTCATTGTGTTTCAGAAGCTATATTTAGACAGGACAGAGAGGCAGCTAACAGTAAACTCTTATCACAACTTATTTCTCCACTCTCAGGGAAATGTTCCGGAAATTTCTAATCAGGCCTTTAAACATGATGAAGAGCGCATTGAAAGTGTCTGAGCTGGCTTCCTCCTCAGCCAGCCACGAACAATGCTGCACTTCGAGCCGGCTGCTGTGTCGACACACAGCCCTGTGTAAACAGCAGGTCACTGACAGAGGCAGAAATAATGAGCCGCTACCTGCCTGCTTCTTCTGTTAAATCCTGTCCTGTCGGCCTTACAGGCAGAAAAGAACTTCCAGGAAACAGCTTGGAGAGGGGGGCCTCCAGCTGTGATCGTTATGTGGACTCAAGGAAGAGTTTTTTTTTGTTTGACACTGAACTCTAGTTCTTCTCACCATTAATTGATAAATAAATAAATAAAACATACAGTAAAACAACAAAAGTACCTTTCAGAGTACTTGTAAGAGTGAAATATGTTGTTTGATCAAGGACACCAACACAGAAAAACCTGAGTTATTCACTCACTATTCACTCTTGGTAACAAACAGTTTTATAGTCCTCCACCCCAATGAGATACAGTTCACAAAACAGCTCATTTACCCAAAACAGAAAACACCAAAGCCTGTAGTTAACCCAATCCTTAGAACATAGGTAAAGCTATGATGTTTGTGTGTTGATAAAATAATTAATCACTTTGAACTGGCAGATTCAACAGTGTTATTCAGTGGATTTTTCTCAAGGCCAGAGGATTTATGGAATATTTCCTCCTTTGTCTTATTTGGTAGACAAAAAGACGAAGGTGAAAGATTACTGAAGGCTTAACTGTAATGTTTTTTTTCCTCAAGGTGAATTAAAAGGCTTTCAACAAGTACTTATTCATCATGCAAGGATATTAAGTTTTACGTGCCAAATATATATAGATTTGCTCTTGTTGTTTCACAGTTGCTGGTTTGATGTCTTGGTTCATTCAACCACATTTGTTCATGCTGACACACTTTCTTTCAAACCTGACATAATTGACATAATTGTTGATGACTACATATAGCCTTACACTAACTGTGTCTGACTCTCCTTCAGTAACACAGATAATGATACAACAGATATTATATCACCAATTTTCTGTGTTATCTAACAGAAGAAAAGGATCCTGATGTGATCTCACCTGTTGACACAGATACACTCGCTGCTTGATGTTGAACAACTTGGTGCCTTCTGTTTGTGTGTCGTCCATATTGATCTGTCTTCAATCTGGGTTAGTTATCACAAAGGTGTGAGTAATAAAGATACAAAAGCCACAGTCATCACAGACACACGTGAAAAACTTGTCAGCCACATACACCATACTAGAATAGATTTCTGTTGATGACTGTTATCAACAATTGGGTCATGCTGTTGTTGAGAACCAGGCCAACATGAGGCTGATACGGCACTTGCAAGCCCCTCACCATCCTTTATCCCTTATGATCAGTGACTTTTGTGTGAGGAAAGGATTTACTCGAGTATATTATTGTTTGGATAGTTTACAGAGACCTTTTTAATGGTATATATATATATATATTTGTCATTATTTTGGTTACGTTTCAACGTGACATACTTGGCTTAGTTTGGATTTGTTTATGTGAGGCTGTAGAAGGTACTCAAAGCTCCTGTGAGGAACTTTTGGTTTGTGTCAATTACAGCACCCCTAGTGGACAAAGCGTTTTTTTTTTTTTCATTTTGTCCCCTCCATGCAAAATCAGTGTCCTCAGGCAAAAAAAAAGCTCTTTCTGCTGACTTCTGATGGTGAAATATGTTTCTCTAGCTGCCTGGCTGACACCTACCCCCTTACAGCAATTTGTGGCATCAAAAATTATACTGTCAATCTTGTCATTAATGATCTAATTTGCTTTTATACATCATAAAAAGAATTCAATATAAATTTCAGTTTATTTCATTAACATCAAAAACTGCTCAACCTAAGGTGAGCAGAATTCTGAAATGAAAGTGTGGCCACCTCACCTTAGAGGAGCTTTAACGAAGGTGACTGCAGTATCAGCACAAAGCCTAATACCAGTGTACTTGACATCACAAAAACACAAACTTCAGCCCCGTGAAAATGCTAAACCAACACAAATGAACATCATTTAAGAACTTAAGTTTGATTTTTTTCAGAGCTTTGCCTGCTGTCTGACAGCTGCTGTGGTGTGAAGGTCAGACCAAGCCTGAAGAATGCTTGCAAGTTGCATAAAAAGCCTGTCTCTGAATGCAGCAACATTTGTCAATGAAGCAGAATTAAAATTCTTGAAGCTCACAATGATTAATGTCACTGCTGCTGCCAATTATCACAAAAAGTGCCATTAAAACCATACCTTGACCTAATGTACCTATTTATCCATTTTGAATGAACAACACAAACAGGTTCTATCAAAAAATGTTGTTTTTGTTTTGACGAAATGATGAATAATGAATATGTTGAAACAGAATTTACAAATGTACACAGACCCTTATCCGTTCAATACGAACAAACAAACAAACAAACAAACAAACAAACAAACAAACAAACAAACAAACAAACAAACAAACAAACAAAACAACATACCTTTATCCTACAATCCTAGAGCAGAACTGAGTAATGCATAACAAATAAGCAGCCGACTAATTTTGGTAACTTGACACACATCACCAAATGGGCTTTACTGTTAGATATGGTTTTATTTTGTCAGGAAGTTAAACAAAAACATTCAAAACATAGAACACAAGTCTTTGCATGTAGCTGTTAATTATATGTGCTTGAGGAATATTAAAAAAAATCCCAATAAATACAGTACACGCACTTTTTATAGTCTTATATATGATTTATAACATCCAATAAAAGTTAATAAGTGGTCATAAAACTGTTTAGATTCCACAGAGTACTGGGAGGGGACAATACTAAATGTTAGTTATGATTTATGATTTTAAGAAAGAATTATACAGTTATATTACTGTGAATAAACATCCTATAAAATTTTTATTGGTGCCCATAATCTGTTATTGGTATATGTTCCCTACATAGCCCTTGTAAGTTAATAATAAATATCATTAATCATTAATTCACCCTGAATTGATTAATTCAACCTGATTAATGAAGCTCATTGAAACTTTTTGATTTTTGACTGTTATATAAACTGTTAACACATTTCTAAATAAATCTTATGAGGGCTTGTAAGTTGCAAAAGTGATAAAAAAAAAAGTGATAAACTATCAATTTGTGCTTATTACAAGGATACTCCTATAAAGCACTACCCAAAAATCTGCAATCAGCTAATCAGTGTCACCTTTAAAGAAACACAGTGCAAGGAAAAGGAAAGGCCAAAACTCCTTTTGTCATGTGCACATGAACACATCACTAACTATAATTAAGAAAAATTTGAGTTTTGTGCGAACCTGCATCACGGGCACTTTTACTTCTGGTTTTTTGAATATGCTTAAGTAGTTGAGCAGAATATGAAAACAGTTATTTCTAATCCTCGAGATTCGTAAAAGAAATATAAAAAGTAAGCTGGAGGTGCAAAATTGATAGAGATAAATTGTTTTCTTTTTGCCCATATAAGCAGCGCAAACACAGGTGGTAACAGTAAGGTTGTAGTGATGCAGTTGAAACCTTATCAAATGGAGATGCCCACATATGGCTGCTTTTTTATCCATGCATTCAATCTAAACTGTACACAAAATATTCTCTCAGGCAATACATTTTGCAACACTATTATTGATTTCTATATCGCACTTGTGTTTTCTTTACACGCTCAAGACTGACTCTGCTTCCGGCCTCTTTCTTGCTGTAATCATTTACATCCAAAGTAAGAGTCGGGTTTCTGGAAGGCTCTCTAAAGCGGGAAGTACGCTGCCACATGGAATTCCCAGAGAGTCTAATGATTTCCCAAATGGTGTGACCCTGGCCTTGAGCTGGACGCCTCCCAAAAACAACTGTTTCCTCCTTTACTCTATTTCCCTTCCTCCACTGCAGCTCACATGCTTGGATTTCACTGTTTCTAGCTAACAGACTGTACAGCCTCTGATGATGATACAGCAAAGAAAAAAATAGGATATAAAGTCTCTTGCTTTGTTAACCTTTATTTAACCTGTGTGTATTATTTAGGCTATAGATACAGTTGGAGTGGCACCATCTGTTAGTGTACAGAAAAGGTATAATCAGCATATTCACTTGTCCTATCTAAAGCAGGTGGGTGCTTACCTAATGTATCCACACTAAGAAGCCCTGCTGATGGCCACTAGTGGTGCCCATGATCCTATCTGTGTGTGATCAAATGTCATCCAGCCATTGAACATCTGGAGGAGCAGCAGCGGGGATGATAAATCAATGTTAACGAGCTTTAGATACGGAGGAATATCAATGACTGCGCATGAAAAAGTAGATTTGGTGTCTGCAGAGCTGCTGGATTCTCCATCTGTCTCTGCAGCTTTCTGTGCCTATACTGCTACTAAAGCTGGATGAATTTTTAATTGTGACTCACTGGCTTTAATAAATACATGCACAAGTTGTTTTTCACCCATCTGGTATCAAGCTGCACGAGCCTGCTCTCGTAATCTGTGGCAGCGGTTAGCTTTATTACACTGCGTTCTTCTCAGCACACTGGACACGTTCAGAAAGACATTAAGACCTTTCTCTCTCTCTCTTCTTGTGGTAATTACAGCCCCCTAAAAAAGTGGTTTCATTTTTCCAAGGAAATCTCAGCGGGAGGCTAATATGTATGCACTTGCTAGCACCATGGCTAATGCGCCCCCCAGCAAGGCTAGCTAAGCTGCAGCAGGACACGGGCAGACAAAGGGGTAATTGAGTACATTACCAGAAATCAAGTATCAGGTGAGGAAAAAGCTGTTTTAAAGGAAAAATTGAGCGACAATACACAAGGCTAATGAGTATATTCTTATTCTGAAACACGGCTGCTTTTTGAGACAACTGGGTGAGCGGGAACAGGGATCATGAGGTGCTGGTAAACACAGCAGAGATGTCAGATCAGTGTAATAAGGACGGGGGTGAGCTCTCGGTGTGTTTTGTATCACTATCAAAAGGCCAACATATTCTTTTCACAGAATTTATATTTTATAATAAGAAAGGAGACAGATTAAAGACACCGAAGAGCTTTTAACTGATTCGGTTGTAGTCAAGAGTCGTTTTTTTGTTGTTGCAGTGTTGTTATTGATGGAGGAACTACAAGCAGGGCTTTGCGAAAGAGCTAAGTGACTATAAACAAGATATAAAGCTTATGCCAACACAACATTCGAATACTTCATTGCCTTTTGACGATAAAAGAGTTGAACTGGGTGCATATTTGAGTTATTTGGACATTTATTAGGACATTTCAGCACACATTCAGACACGGGCTGTGGCTGTGCGGCTACGAAAAGGGTCCCTGTGATCCAAGTGCAGTAAAAGATTAAATTCAAAGATGTACATAATGTCTGTAAAGCTCCATGGATTAAATATACAAAGACTGTATAATCCTACTCAAGTTGTCCACCATCTGTAAGGGAAGGGTTCAGATCTGTTGTCTTTCTCAGGTAAGCAGCCTTTGCATAAATGCTACTAGTGATGGGGGTTCAGGCTCCTTTTTACCCACCTTTTCTGCCCCCAAACATCTCTCAGAAGCTGGTCTTTAGAGCGGAGGATTTTGTGAATGAAACACACTCCTGGCCTGAGTTTACGGCACAGGTCCTGCTGTGATGTGAAGTAGGCTAACATGAAATTGATAATAATAATGAGTCAAAGGTTTAGATTATATATGTTGAACAAATGTACACATCAAGTTAATAAAATGTCAAGCTGATAATTAACTATTTAAAGGCAAACAGATGTGTGTAATGATACCACGTAATGCTGTGTTAAGTCAGCCTAAATCACTGTGGGGGAAATGTCCTTAACAGTCCTAGCTGTGAGTAACAAGTTACTCAACAACAAATCACGAAACTCCACCCCAGTTCCTGGTAACTAGCAATGGATCCAGATACTTTTCAGCGACATTCAAGACATCTCAATGATGCAATGCTAAGGCACATCATCAGTGATGTAACCAGTAAGGTTATCAACTGATCTGGGTCTTTCAGTCATCATACTACCTCACCTAGATTACCCAACCAGCCATGATCAGATCCCAGCCTTTGTAGCAGCCACACATGGAGCTTTTCTCTTTAGTCAGAGCCATCAAGTCTCCGTCTCCTGCTGGTGAAGGTAATCACTCTTTTACCTTCGATTCAGTGATACCTGAAGTTCTGTTTTGGTTCCCCAGAGAGATTGGTTTACTAAGCCCCAACGCCAGACCAGGTGCAGCTTGTGTTAACTTAGCAGACCAAAAACAACAAAGGATTAATATAAACCCCCTCCAGATCCACAATTTGTAAGCCTGGAAGGACTAAACGGACTGATTGCAAAGTATGTTGGTGAAGACATGTGTCTGGTATCAGCTGCTGAGTCTAGTGCTACTATCAAAATAATCAATGTGCAAAAAAGAGAGGGATGAGAGGTTGGAAACATTCATGAGACTATTAAATCTAACAGATGTAACTTGAAGGTAACTTCCTCGGGTAGCTTTAACTTTATTATATTTTGGCCTAGTTAGTGAGTTGGTTACTTTTTTCTCCCAGTTGACATATTATGCACCAAATCAAACACGTTAGCAGTCTTTTTGACAGCTCTGTTCCATTCATTAATACGTTAAGACAACTTATCAATTTTTGTGTCTCTTCTTCTGATAAGGTCCACGTTTTTACATCAGTATGTGGTGGAGTTGGTGGGAAATTTAGCTTTTATCTCAGCAACAGATGAGTCATTTCATATGGAGCCATGGACCATGTGAGATCCTTATAGAAAAATGTTCATACAAAAACTGCCAATGCAGTGGTTCATCACAAGAAATTTAATTGAAAAACTCTTTAATATTAACTAATTATTTAAAAGGATATTCCGGCGTAAGATAAATTTAGGGTCAAACACACCATAACACCTAGTTAGGCACACCCTCAAGAGATGAATGTTGCCAACCGCTTGCTTCTCTAGTAATACCAGCTTTAGTAACAACCGAAGGCGCGCAATACACAGCGGTTTGAGGAGCCATGAACAAATCTCAACCAAAACGCCTCTCTATAGCCACAAATAATGCTTAGAACAGCACCTAACTTCATCAACAGTACATTTAGGGTCCCAGCCACAACACTAGCCATCAAACATCTTTTTAACTCTGCCTGATTTCTTTGGCAAAGAGACTAAACACAACTCACCCACTCTCTTCCAGCAGCCGCTTGTTTGTAGCGAGACCTCGGGCCAGTCCATTACGGACTGCAGTGGGGTGCTGCAGCTCAAGAAAGAACATTTATGATCATTTCTTCATGGAAATGCAATCAGAGGAAATGATAAAGTAATGATCATAAATGTTCTTTATGAGGTGTGTCACCACCGCTGCAGTCTGTAATGGATTGGATCACTACAAACAAGCAGCTGCTGGAAGAGAGTGGGTTAGTTGTGTTTAGTCTCTTTGCTAAAGAAATTAGGCAAAGTTAAAAAGATGCTTGGTGGCTAGTACTATGGCTAGGACCCTATATGTTCTGTTGATGAAGATAGGTGCTGTTCTGAGCATTATTTGTGGCTATAGAGTGGCTTTACACCGCTATGTATTGCTATCATGCGTGTGTTTGACCGTAAATTAATTTTACCCTGGAATATCCCTTTAACACTTTAATAAGTATCTTTGCACAAAAACAGAGAAAAGGAAAAAAAGAAAGTACATGACTGATAGTTATGAAAACACTTAAAACAACACTTCAGTGTAAATCAACAGCATGCAGTTTTTACCCCCTCTGTTTCCATTACAATAATGTAAGTTAATATTTGTCTTCTTTCAAGTCCTGAAGCTTTTTGGGTGAAGGGTATTCTGGGACCAGCTTGTTAAGAGTATCTGAGCGAGAGCTTCTGCTAAGAGCTCCTTCTGCTTGGCAACACTCAAGTGTGGAAATCTTAGCATCACTTTTCTTAGAAACGAGCTGTGGATGTGGATCATTATGAGGACTAAGAGCCCAGAGTCTCACTATAGGCTCTATCAGAGTGTACAGAGGCAAAAAGCTGCATGCTAACAAAGCATGCAAACATACTCGCAGACGGTGCTCTGTATGAACTCGCAGAATTGACCATGTTCGGTGAACTGGGCAGCTTAATTTGTGACCTGTGAACACAACATTTGTGAACAACCACTCACATTCAGGGAAGATCTGTAAGGGATCAAAAGTTGCTCAGCACTGTGTTTTATGGCAGCCAAGTTTAGATTTATGTCACCATGTATTCAGTGTAGATGCTGCAGGGTAACATTACAAAGCAGATTTTCTCGGGTACTTGGATTTTAAAGCCTGAAGCTTTATCCAGATATTAAGCATACATATTAAAGCTAGATGAATATTTTTATTTTTTTAGAGCTACAAAGTTTGGTCTTAGTCTAAGTTGTAAAAAACTCGAATGGGATTTTTCTTGTCTTTTAATCATTCCGACTTATCTTACTTTCTTGGCTTATATATACCTATGATTCTATTTTAGTATACAGACATTAATGTACTCTGACCCTAGACAATGAGGTTTGCTCCAAGCAGGCTTTCAGGGAACTGCAGTTTTGTTTTTTTTTTTACCACATTTGCATTGGCCGAGACTAAGACTCAAGGTTACTGCTCTGTGCAACCCACTGCAAGACTTTACTTCATGTTGTGCTGAAGCATGTGACAGATTTGTACACACAAGGACTGACATGAACTGGTGCTAATTTAACAGCAAACGACAACAACAATGACAACAAAAACAGAAGATAGGGAAAAATTATTTGGATTACATTTGGATTCATCAGGAAGCAAATAGACAAATTAGTTTGAGATAATTAGTTAGATATTGTAAGATTATCAGCCCGTTTTGTTGTTGTTGCTAGGCCGACCAATTACACTGCAGTTTGCATGTTTTTCACACACTGCAGCTGAATTTACATTGTACAGCTCATAAAACATCATAAAACGTAACATGACACCTCCTGCCAGGGCTATTACATAATCCTGCATGTTACTCTAGTACTTTAATGTACGCTTTGCACCCTTTATACCTTATGTGGAAATAGTGTTCCTTAATGATGAACATCGAATATTAACGAACACTAAATAATAGCTGCATGTTTGTGTCACCAGAGGACTGCTGTCTGTAATCGCAGACTTAAAAAAACTCACTCCTTATGAAAAATGGATAGATATGGGATTGACTGTTTGGCAGCCTGTGTATAATGAAGCTTCTCAGTCAGACTGCATCTACAGCAGCTTGCATGTGGCCTGCAGGGAGTCCAGGAGAAGTTCAGAGAGAATTAATGTGCAAGATGATTGTTTCTTTGGCTGCTTCACAAAGCTGAGCCCTGAGTGCGGCTGGTAGCTCTTCAACACGAGCTCAGAGGGCACAGTGAGTGTTTGATCCTTCTCATTGCTATGCTAGAGAGACTTAGAGGACAACAAGCTTGTGTCTAATTTGCATTGCAGCTAACCTGAAGGAAGAAAGGGGAGGGAAATGTTATGAGGTATTAAAATGGGCAAGAGAAGATAGCTCATTGCCAAACAGGGGAGGGGACTTCTTTTGCATCAACAGTCAGTGATACATTATAATGTGCTTCATAAATACCCACAAAAGGTGCCTTGTTTAAATCTTAAGGAGTAAATAAAATATGAAGTCCAGAGTCCTCTACAGAGTGAAATTGGAGCTTATCTGCTTTTTCACCTGCAGAATATCCAAGAAATTCAGGCTGAGCTGACAGCACAAGTAATAAAATCTGACCTTTAAAAGCTCTTCCCATCACTAAGGGAAGATTAAAGTTGAAGTCACCACAATTCAGAGTCTGCCTGGCTGATACTTTGGTTTCCAAGACACCTCAGTGACTCTGTTCACTGTAATCAGTTGTGTCAAAGGCACAAACGAAGCAATAAAGGAAGAGTACACACCAAGGTTAGCTTGTTTGTATGAAGTATTGTACCAGTGCCAGTGAAAGTCACTCTTAGTCACTCAGGTAGTTGTTGAGGGTTTTCTGCTTGAGTATGTCTTGTTTGGTGAAGTGTTTCAGCAAACAGAACAGAAAGTGAAGATGTGAAAAATACACAGTGTATCTTAGTAAACTTACAAGGAATGTATAATGTCAAATATGGACCCCCTGTTGAAATAGAGTAATCAGATGTATAGTAGATTTACATTGTGTCATTACTATGTAGGTTTGTGATGACATCCTAGTGTGGTTTGACCTCTGACATGCAGGTGGCGCTCAAGACTCACGTCAGACTCAAAGGAAAGAAAGTGAAGGTGAAATCTAAAGAGAAAATCATCTTTTGTAGTTGACAATAAATTGAATGCCATTCACTCTACGGTAGCCCTGAAGGTCAATGGCACAGTTTATTACAGAAAGGCAAAGGATTAGGATAGAAGGACAGAAATTCAAATATACACATTTCTGTATTCATGTGAGATATTTTCATGCTTTTTGTAACATTTTCGTGTTTTATGACATGTTTTTCTTTTCTGTCTTTCAAATATAATTGCCATTGACCTTCAGGGCCACCATATATATTTCCTGATACTATGCAGACAATTTCCTGCCAGTTAACATTACAAACCCCAAAGAATAACGAGTATGATGATGACTAAGATAATGGAGACAGGAGACTCATTTTCAAGACGAGAGCAGAGAACAGTGTTTAAGTCTGCATCTCTGCCCTTTTGCAGATGATGGGCCATCACGGGTTGTATTACACTGTGGCTTGTGCAACATATTTTGGGTGTCGTGATCTGCCTCCAAAGACTCATCTCTCCCATCCACCACCCCCTTCCTCTGACCGGGAAGATTTCACAGAGGGAGGGTCCAGCAACCTTGGGAGATTTTGAAGGCAAAACTCGATAAAGTTTTTAGAACATTTCCAGTAAGCCTGTGTAAAAAAAGGATGTGATTTTACCAACTTAACATGTTAGCTGGCCTATAATGAATGACTGAATACTGCTGTATGTTTAGCTGCAGGCATTTGGACTTCCAAAGATTCTGATGTTAGATAGAAACTCTAAAGTACAGGGACCCATTGGTCAATGTTGAGTTCAAAGACTTGTGGTCCAAGCCTATAGTGACCCAGACAAGAAATAGGTCTTCTAATTATTAGTAATGTCCTTTTGCTATCTCCTGCTCAGTAATGTAAGTATAAGTTGTGAGAAAACATGGACCCTAAAACGTATTTTTGACAAGAATCAGTACAAATCAAGAGTTAATTTCTGAAAATAAAAGTTCAGTGGTTTGTTTCTAAAGGAATATGAGTATGTGCGTATTAAAAACTGTTACTTTGTCCAAAAGGACAATTCTTTTAGCTTCCTCTCTTTGCCGAATTTTTGGAAAAGCTGTTACAGATGATAATATTAACACTTTAGCTCTCACCCTGATCTTTGTGTTACATCTTATATGAATAGAGAAACCGTCACATCACCAGGTTGGTGGTGGTCGGGCTGTAAGGAGTTTCTGTGGGATGAGGGACAGGGATTTGTAAAGGTCACACTTTGCTATAGTAACAAATCCCACTTACATGTGCCTGTTCATGCAATTAAAAGGATAAATGAACCTTCCTCTCTTCAAATTGTCTCCCAAATCCTCCTACTTATCTTGAACAGCTTAACCTCATGTAATCTATGGCAGCACCCGCCTTCTAATCTTTGAAGCAAGACAAAGGGTTTCACATTAAGAGAGGCAGAGGAGGTAAAAACGTAATTATTTAGTGAGCAAAACAACTGGAGGTGTACGGAGCTGAAGCACAACTTGTGCAGTAGTAGGTTTAATGCTTCACGTCCTGCTGAGTGCCATGAATCATCTGCCCACATAGCAACCGGCACGGCACACTTTCTTTGTAAAGCTGCAGTGAGTCAGTGGTAGAGTGGTAGACTTCAGTCTCCTCTAAAACACCTGGAGATGATCAAAGTGACTGAAATAATTGGAAAAAGGTGGAAGATAAAGAATGACTAAAAGCTGATAAACAACATCAGCTTTACAGATGCTGTGTGAAATAAAACCTGCACCCACTCTATACAGACTAATCAGCAAAGCACATACAGTGCCTTGAAAAAGTATTTTATTAAGAGTTTTTGTCATAGACCAACACGAAGTAGCACATAATTGTGAAATGGAATGAAAATGATATATGGTTTTCAAAAATTTAAACAAATAAAAATCTGAAAAGTGTGGTGTGCATTTGTATTCAGCCCCCCCTGTGTCAGTACTTTGTGTGTCAGCCACCTCTCGCTGCAATTACAGCTGCAAGTCTTTTGGGGTATGTCTCTACAAGCTTTGCACATCTAGAGACTGAAATCTTTGCCTATTCTTCTTTGCAAAATAGCTCAAGCTCAGCCAGATTGGATGGAGAGCATCTGTGAACAGCAATTTTCAAGTCTTGCCACAGATGCTCAGTGGGATTTTGGTCTGGACTTTGACTTGGCCATTCTAACACATGAATATTCTTTAATCTAAACCATTCCATTGTAACTCTGGCTGTATGTTTAGGGTCATTGTCTTGCTGGAGGGTAAATCTCTTTCTCAGTTTCAAGTCTTTTGCAACCTCCAACAGGTTTTCTTCCAGGATTGCCCTGTATTTAGCTCCATCCACCCTCCCATTAACTCTGACCAGCTTCCTTGTCCCTGCTGAAGAAAAGCATCCCCACAGCATGAGGCTGCCACCACCATGTTTTACAGTGGGGATGGTGTGTTCAGGGTGATGAACTTTGTATTCAGGCCAAAAAGTTCAACTTTGGTCTCATCTGACCAGAGCACCTTCTTCCACATGTTTGCTGTGTCCCCTACATGGCTTGTGGCAAACTGCACATGGGACTTTATATGTCTTTCTGTCAACAATGGCTTTCTTCTTGCCACTCTTTCATAAAGACCAGATATGTGGAGTACACGACTTATAGTTGTCCTGTGGACAGATTCTCTTACCTTCAATTTAACAATTATTTGACATCTCATCATAATGTACACGCCCGGCAGTAGCTCCTGTTGCCCTTTCAAAATTTCCCAGAGGGAATTTTCTAGTTGTCATTTGTTGTAAATATTTTTCATAGAAATGGTAAAAACATAGCTGTTTTTTTAAGCTGCTTCAGTGACACAGACCGTCTTGCTTCAGTATCAGGCATTAAACATGATAATATAGAAATTGTTAATCCTATGGCTGGTGGTATTGTTCGCTTTTGTAGGTCATGAGCAGACATCTTCAGTCTGTTTCATCAACATCAAAAAATCCCTACAGGAGCTTTAAAATGCATGAGGCTGCAGGGATGGTAATGTTAGCTTGTTGGTTCATATTTCAACTCACCTCAATAAAAATTTCTGATACATTTCTATGAGCTAAGGGTCATATTAACTGGACTTGACAAAGAAAACCAAATTCCTCTTTTAGGCTGTGATAGGATGAGTTTCTTTAGCCAGTCATGTCAGCCTTTAGAGTGGTGGAGCTGTGTCACTCAAATACCTCAGATACTTCAGTGTTAGATTGCTGGAGCCGGGGGCCTCCGACAACCATCCTCAACAAAGACCTTGTACCCATGTTTTACATCACACAGGTCCCCAAAATATGTTCTGTCATGGTATTTCCTTCTATGGACCCTCCATATGTTCACCTAAAGCTCCTTAAAATATGTTGTTCTTTGTTCTTACTGTGCATGGAGTTTTCTTAGGGTCAACTAAATGTCAGCAGTATGTTTAGAAACGTGGATGACTATGTATACTTGAACGGTCTCAGACCAATCTTTGTTACGCTTCCGTTACACTTTGTTATGCTTCCGTTACACTTGTGGCATGATGAAGCTGTAACCAGTAAAGCTTGTCAAAATGATCATTCGTGTGGACCTTCCATTTTTATAATGTGTGACCATGGGCTAGGCATCCTTACAGGCTGATACATAAAAGGCATGACTAGACTAAACTTAACAGAACTAAATTAATTTGGCTGATTTGGCTAAAAAATAAATGAAGACAAAAAAACTGGCCTCTTTATATTAGTCGAACACTTGACCAAAATAAATTAAACTCAATCTAAACTTGACTTAACTGGACTTGGAATAATTTTACCAAACTAAATCAACCCATCGTAAGAGCTCAGCTTTCTTATCTATTTGGTGTTTTTTTCTGACCTGAGTTTGAACTCATTTTTGTTTTTTTTATCCATCACGTGATAGACTGACTGAACTTTTTGCCTCTTTGTAAACTGTTGCTTTAATGCTTGTTATAAATTTTGTTTAAAATGTTTTAAAGCTTTTAAAATCTGAAATGGTCTCTGTTTTAGAGCTTTCCCTCATCCAGCAGAGAGGGAATATGACAGTGATGATAAACAAATTTCCCATGTTGCCACACTCCAGCCTCAGTGGGTCCTCTAGTGTCCAATTACAGGCCACAGAGTCATGTGTGGGAATTTTGTGTCCCTGCGGGAGGAATACCATGCATCACTGATGAGCCACAACATTGTCACATGGTTTGCAATATTTCTAAGGAAAAGATAAAAAAACTACTGCAACAACACATCCGGCTTTTATCATTTGGACTTTGGTTTCCCTCCAGAGGAAAAGCATTCTTGGATTTGTGCCGACTGAAACCACTGCAGAATAGTTTTCGTCAGCAGAAATACTTTTTGTTTACACTGACCTCTGTGAGTAAATCATACGCAGAAATGGAGCAAAAGCCAAAGCACCTGAAACAAGACAACTGTCCTTTGACTTCTCAGCAAGATAAAGCGGCTTTGACGACTCTCCTAAAATGCCATCACAGCTCTGTCTCCAGAAAGTGTCACATCAAAACAAAACATCACCTGCCTGTCCTTTTGCTATCTCCTGCTCAGAGGCATCAAAGGACAGTCTGAGCTGACAGACACATGACCGCTTTGTGCTGATTACTTGACAAAGTCTTGATGATTTGTAGGTTTTTAGGTCAGTAAAAGGTAAACATGATGTCTCCTAATGCTTCGTGGCATTTTCAGTCCACAGGAGTTGTCTGAGGCGGTCCCTTTTTTGTTGAGAGCAGAGCGTAAGATGCCAAATTCTGCCTGATCTGTCAGGCCAGATGTTGTCCCCAGATACACTTTTACTTGTGTGATGACAAAAAGTCAAATACAGTCTTTGTTCTTACTGCTGACTCTTGATTTCCCCCCTGAGACCACTGACAAACCAGCATGTGACCAACAGCGCTCCCTATAGACCAGTGTTGCTTCATGATGGAGTTTTGTCCTTCATCTATCTGTATAGGCCCATACTCATCTTATCTCTGAGAATTACTCACAACAATACAATGGAACGAAAAAATTCAGATACATTTAAACCAGTAACTTCTTTTGTAACAGCATGATAGTATTTTACATCTTCATCTGCCCTACTGTGATATGAATTTTTGCATTATTTTATGTATTTGTGGTGACTACTTTCTAGTATACTGCTTGGAAGTATGAGTTTGTTTTGCAAGGATAGTATTTGTCATCTAATAACTCAAAATAAGGTTAGAAAATGACATTACAAACTTCTGAAGAACTGGCAAACTTCAACCTCTTACTGTGCATGTGTGTTAAGAGCTCTGGTGTTTCTGCATCCAGGTCCCTTTCATTCAATTTACTCTTGTATTCGATTTTGTTGTACTTTGTATTACTCATGCATTTGTTAAGAGCAACCAACCATTTGGTTTGAATGCAAAAACAGCCGAATACAATCCCTATACTGAATCACAAATGGGCCTTAGTATTATTTTTTGTTGTTTTTGATAAATACAAAACTTATCTGTGGTTGGTTGTCTGTGCCATGATAATGGGCCTCAACTCTCTGTATATAAAATAGGAGGCAGAATGTAACAGGGGGTGCCTTTCTAAACAAAACTGGAGTGTAATTTGTGTGAGTGTAATAAATCCAAAGGGTCATTTTTATAGCAAGTTCAATATGCGTCAGTCCTGTCGGTGTGTTTGGTTTTTTGCCCAGCAGATGGCAGCAGAGATACACCACTGCTGTGTCACCTGTTATCAGTTGCACATCCTGACAAACCAGCAGCAGCCCTCATTGAAGTCTCATTCATCACTTTGAATTTGCAAAGCAACAATCTGTCGGCTGCATTCAGTCTTTCAAGGGGTTGAGGAGAATGAAAAGGGACTGCTGAAGACAAGAAACAAAGCTGTAGTTTTCTGCTGAGCCTAACCTCTGTCATTGATAGATGAAGATTTTAAGGGTAAATTGCATTCAGTCCTAACAGTGGATTGCTTTGAAGTACACGCAGTAAAGAAGCACGGGGCACTGAGCGCATAAAGCTATTAGACTCGAGGCCTTAGACACACTTAGCATGCTTTGTGACATATCTAATAGGATTGTGTGAGTCTGTATGCCTGCAAGCCACTAACCACTGTAAGTCTTAAACACTGCACATAGAAAGTTTACGGCATGCACAATTTTCCTCAGATATGAGGGATGAATGGAGGCAGGAGGAAGAATGCTGTTTTTGTTTTCTTGATCAATTTTTGTACCCTGCAGAAACCCCTGGATATTCACTTTTGTGTTTGTCTTGCATCTTTCCCCCCAAAGGGCCACATTATCTTGCATATTTCCATGGCAGACAACAGAGGAAATGTGTAAAATGCTTTCATGTGTTATCCGTAGGGTGCAGATGTGCATTTGTAAGCATATTTTATCATGTACTCCTGTGTTTAGCTCTAAACAAATCCAATCATCTCAACAGTGTCTCTGCCGTTTCTCCTCTCTGAATTCACTTGAAGAAAAAGCTGAGGTGGATACAAAAGTACAGCATGAACAGTTTTCCTGTATGAATACCTTTTAGTGCTTGCTGTAAGGTTGCCTTCTTTTAGACCTATTGTGTCTACAGGGCTCAGCAGGTGTGATTGAAGCCTAATGGGAATGGATGATGGCTATAAATGCACCTGTCTGCAGATGATAGCTTAAATCAGTATTCTCTCTTGCAATGAGAAGTGGAAATAGGGGCTGCGGTTAAAGCAATGGTGATGTCTCTCCCTTGGTCTGTGAAATGGCTCAATCTCTCCGCTCGCTTCACTGTTTGATTGTTATAAATCTTTTAGAATCACATTATCTTGGCACTCTCATTACAGATGATTGTGATCCTGCGACTGTGAAAGCAGAGTTTATTTTTATAACTTCAATGGTGATACTTAAAACTCACAGTTTCTTTTAAATAGCAGGGATGTTGTTCGATAAGAAGCAGTTCAAAGAGGAAAAATGCAAGCAAGATCATGATAGGCTAACAGCTGTTTAAGGCCAAGGTACAGGGGTGCTTTCAGGTAAATGCTAACATTAGTGTGCTGGCTTAGCAATGGCAAATGTTGAATAGCAGAGTCAGTCTAGTACATTTTCAGAGTTACTATCTACAGTATATATACTAGATAGCTAGTATTTGCTAACTTGCCAAGAGTTATGTGAGCGAGACTCTACAGCCATACTAGGTGAGTTACTTAGACATGGGGGTTGTAATATTTTCATTAGTAAGCCAGAGATGTCGGGAGAGAGTGCCGGGCCCTAATTGCAAATATTAGCATGATAACATGCAATCCATAACAACGCTTAATTTTATTCAGTCTTAAAGACGTACAACCAGGGTGATGGACAGGTCAAATTGTTGATCATTAAGCGAAAAAAGAATAGTTTAACCTGTGCAAATTCAGGGGTAAAAATCTCCTCATCAAACTTGAAAATTCTATCACCAGTCAGTTCAGTTTATTCCAGTATTTACCATAGACTGTATATACTATGGACAACCTGGTTCCGCCTCCTGCCAGTATACGGATTTGAAGCCAAAAAGCTCTTGCTATTTCCGCAATTTTACTTCATTTCCTCAAACCAGCATTGCTTAGTACCGTTGTATGCATTTGGCCGGAGAGTCGCCGAGAGTCGCTGTGATGACGCTCGGCTCAAACAGCGTACAAACAGCTACGCAATCCTTGATCGCCAATATGCTGTCTCAAGTGTCAATCATAGAACACATGAACTCCTGAATAACTTTTACAAATGGAGCTAAACAGAAAAAAGAGGACTTGAGCACAAACCAGTCTTACTGTAACTACATGTCAACATCGCAAGCAGGAGGGAGATAAATTTATATTCTGAGTAATAAATTTCTAAAGTTTGTCCACAGCCCCATAAGCTTTGCTGGCGGAGGCAGGATTTATGACCTATACTGCAGCCCGTCAACAGAGGGTGCTGTTCTCGGAGTGGCTTCACCCAGCGAGGAGGCAGACGGCGTCCATTCTATATACAGTCTATGGTATTTACACTTCATCCTCATCAACCTGTAATTTAAGTGCTACAAAAATAAACCACATAGTTATCTAATCTTCTTTTGCTAAAATTCAAGACTGTGACTCCATCCATGAAGGCCGAGGAGCTGTTGAACAGCAAAGTCAAGCCAGATACGTGTTACTTTTTACACTTGGGTATGTTAGCTTGCTAGCTTACAATGAAAGTTTTTTTTTTTTTTTGCTGGGGCTGCTTTATGCTCATTTGATAGTTGGCGTAAGCTAAAGCTATTGCAAGCATGATGACATGCACTCTGACAATGCAGATGTTTAACAGGCATCAATGTTAAAACAGTCAGCTATGCTTCTATTTGCAAGTACATAATATAAACACAGGTACAGAGCTGATAATGTCAAATACTTTGCAACAATAATTACACGTGGAAGTTAAATCTTGGTGACAGTGGCTACTTAATCTCCAAAATCAGATGGATTATCAAACCTCCTTTATTGAGTTATTGTCATTAAATTTGATTTGTTTTTGGACTTGAATCCTTTAAAAACAAGTGGAATGGCTAACTAACAACTGCCTAAGAAATATGAAAGCAACACATTTGAATTAAATGACTGCTTAAAATGTTAATAACTATTAGATTTATGTTGATAATATTCAAAAGACAGGTTATTTTCCTTAATTTTTGATCACCACTTGTTTATCTAAGGTCAGCCAAGCTTAGAACTGCAATTCAAGGCAGCGCTCCAAGTAATTTACTGGAAATTTTACTGAGAAGTGTTAGCAGAATTACAGTTACATTAGGAGAAGGACAAAAAAGAAAAGAAGAAAATTACATCTCCAGAACAGTATGATCAGTTTTTAGCAAATTCATCAGAGCACTTAAGTTAAAAGGGTAATTTCATAAATGGAGATGAAAGCCATTGAAGTGATTTGTCTACCTACCAAAGAGATTTTGATGGTCTTTTCAGTAAGAGAGAGCCGTTTGGAGCACTGAGCTCTTATAGAAGCATTAGCTTTGACAAAAAAGTATTCTTTTACACTGTGACACTGAGAATATCTCTAATATAATCTAATTAGATGGCAATAGTGAATGAGCTTATGCTGAAAATGTAGCATTAATGATAACTGAATTGTTGTAGACACAAAGTTTTCACATCAGACAGAAATCCATCATGATTAAAATGGCTTTATCTTTCCTAGCTGGCATTAAAGTAATGCAATACAAGAGCAGGTGTAACATTCAGGACCATGGTATTGTTCTGGGACCTTGGTATGTTTTCAGCATACATAATGGACTATTTTAATTAGAAGTATTGAATATTTTAAAAAACACATCTACTGCTCTCAATATTAAAACATTCCTGCTGCCTCAGTCTGTCAGTCAGTAATCCTGATAGGAATTTCAGGCCCTTGTAAAACATGCAACGTGTGCATGGATAACACAATTTTCTTCTTTATGAAGTTTCTTTATGAAAAATGTCTCTGAGCCCCGTACAGACAGAGGGCTGTTAAATTATTTCTCTCCTCCCAACCATCTCACAGCAGTCCTGCCTGCAGTTCTCAGAGTTTGATCATTATAAAATATTTTATCATTGTTGAGGGTCATTAAGCATCTGCCATAGCAGTAATAAAACTTATACATAGTTCAACCCCTTAAGTAATTCAATAAGCCTTCAGTTGCCAAATTAGCATATGGTAATGGTCCTCTTGGAGGCCCTGCCCAAATGTGAGCCCGTTAATTGCAACGCAGCTTAAAGTGTCAGTTTCTTTGGCTGCGGTGAGATGAAAACTCTGGAGAGCTCTAACAGCCACATCGGTGATATAAATGCATGTTACTTCAGCTCACTGGGGCATCTCAGCCTGCTAAGGACAGACTGCTGAGGACGAACAAGGGCAGCAGGAATGAAGTGAGACTTAAAACCAATCGTAATCCCCCCCACACGCTGCATGTTAGCTCTGGCTTTACCCTTGGAGAGCTCTCATGGCTTATCAAGACAGAAATGGAGACTTAGCCCTTGCTGATCATGTTTAATTAAGAGCCACCAGTGAATAGTGTAACGTAGGGCTAATAGAGGATAACATGCCTTGAAAGACCGGGGTCGTTTAGAGAAACAGCTTATGAAATGATCCGTCGATAAAAGCTGTTTCCTGATGTAGAGTGTAAAGGTGATGTGCAGAATAATCACAGGAGCTTGTCATACATACTTTAGACTCAACACTGCATGCATTTGTGAACAATAAAGTCGGCTTCATGCAGTCCCTGGAGATTCTGAAACCCTTCTGACACATACGCTGCACTCTCTGGGATTTCCAGACTCAGTTCAGGTGGGATGCATGTGTTAGCACAAAAGACTCAATCTGTTCACTCTTCGTTTATATTCAGCCCCCTTAGTAGAAGTCTGCACAAAGTTGAGGTGAGTACTGTTGTAGTACTCGAGTTAAGGACTGGGACTTAAGTCTGTCTCCTGATCCTGAGGACTCGTGACTGGACTAACTTTAAAGATCCGAGATGTAGAGAGAGATGTCAAAAGTTATGGAGCACTTTGTACTATGGCTCTCACAGTTTGATTTTTGGCACCTGGTATGCTCTCAGAATAGCTAATGAATTTAGCAATTCAGTAAATAGCTAGTAGTACTGATGAAGTCTAGGAGTAGGACAGACTGCATTAGGGTTGTCACAATACTAAAATTTTAAACTCGATATCAATACCCATACCCAATACCATTTTCGATACCAGGGGGATTAAAAATGACAAATACTTTAAAAGGCATAAAAAATATTTTTATTAACATAAAAAATGGAATGGCATATATATGACCAATTAACTAAAATTTTTAAATAATAGGAAAATGAAAAAAATAAATATATGAAAAACAAGACAATCACTTTTTCACTTCAAACCCAGGTTTCTCCACTGTGTTAATGGGTAGTTGGTCCTCACAGATATACTCTGCTACAGCTCTATTTGTTTTGACAGCTTCAGGAGACTTTGGGTCATACTTTCTCTGTTTTTCTAATAGCAGTGGAAGAGTAGGTTGTGGTTTCTCGGTTTAGTTGCAGATCAACTTCTCCCTGCTTCAGTCTGCATCTTTAAGAGAAGAAAACGCGCTAGAGTCACGTTAGGGAGCCAAAGGCTACTAACAGTGGGCCCACTGCTAATGGCTAATAACAAAACAAACAAAATTCACTGAGCATAAAGTTAACCGCGGCTACAGCGGATTAATGCTGGCCACTGCCCAGACTTACATAATTATTCAGTTTAATACAGTAAGGTAAAGGATGAACAGGAACTTTAATAACCTGCAGGAATTTGTCATGAAGGCCAGGGTGCTGGTCCTTAGGGTGTTTTGCTAAATTAGTCGTGCTACTTGACTTTGTCGCCACCACTTTGAAACACTGGCCATACTTAGTAGCAATAAAACATTGGGACAGCAAGTGGGGGCTCTCCTGACTACCGGCCTGCTGGGCGGATGCTGTCTGCCGGGTCGGCTGCGCTGCTTGCGGAGTGCGCTGGGTGGGCGCTGTGGGCAAGTACACTTTTAGTATCGATACCATGGCAAATTAGTATGGTATCCAGATATGGCGTTTAAGTATTGATACTTTCGACAACTCTGGATACCCTGCAGACTGCATTCACCTGTCATGATCTCGGATGGAAGGTGCAATGCATGCTTTAGGGAACCAGGCCTGATTTGTGCCACAAGAGGTCTGCTAAGGTTCCATTACCATGGAAGTGTTACTAAATTTAGGGACTATTTTTACAGCTGTTTAACTGAATCATGTTTTGGTTCAAGAAATAATTTGAAAATCAATTTGTTAACCTTTCCCTTTTACCTTTAAATCAGCTTTGACCTTAGACACCTGATTTTATATGATTTCTCATAAACTTCCTCGCTAGTTATGGGAATTTTAACTATATTGAATTATTTCCTCTGCACTGATTTCCAATTTCTGTTGTGCACTACCTGCCAAACTCTGAATAGCAGGAGAAACAAAATTTGAGACTAGCAGAAGGGCAGAGCGGAGCCATATCTTCACTGGGAGTTTAAAGAGACTGAAACAGGGTTTGGTACTTGGTGGTGTTTCGTCAAAAAAAATCAGTAACGAGTCCCTACTGAAGTCGCTAATTAGACTGAGGTTGTAGCGATGCAAATGCATTAGCAATATGTCAAATCTAATACAGTAAACTGCTGTCAGGTGGATTAAAGAGTTTAATTAGTCGAAGCAGTTATAGCAAAAGCTCTGTTTAAGGAGCACTAGTACACAGTATTTAAGTATAAGGACTCATATCCCTTGACTTTCATTCATCTTATTCAAAACTTTACACACAGGTCATAGACTCCAGGATATCATTCTTCCTGCAAACACTTGTTTCCTGAAGGATTTATGAGAACATGTCTGTGGTCAGACCTGTAGTTGTCATTGTCATCCTGCACGTCTTTGACGCTTTACTATCCGTGAAATAGACCCCGCAGATGTTGATGTTTTGAGAGCTGTCGGTGACTTCTTTCCTATTCTGTTTTGCTCCAGTCCTCTGTTGTCTCCTTTTTTTTCTCCTCCCAGAAGAAAGTGGTTCACATGAGGAGGATGGCTGTTGACAGATGGAGAAGAGACGAGGTTATCAACCCTGTCAGACAGTCAATCAGGATGAATAACGGTGTAACAGCATCAGGTTAGACTCTCACTCCTGAGCCTTGTTCTCTCTAATTTGTTTTTCCTATCTGTCATTTGGCATTCATGTGTAACTGATAAATACTTCATCGATTTTTTTCTTTATTATTGCAGAAAGAAGTCCTCACATTCTGAAGTTTCAAATCCATCAAACCCTTACTTTAAACCATATTTCTCCATAGAAAAAAATGTTCTCTGGGTTTGACAAGCATGATGTGCAAGGGTGGCTGAATATTGCATATTCAAAACAACTACAGAGAGTGTGCTTGAAAGCTAGATTTGATAGTTGTTAGAAGTCAGATTTATTTATTCAGTATAGCCATTCATCACTAAAGCCTTTTTGAAAGAAACCAACAGAGACAAGCCAACCTACATATGATTCGAGCCTGCTGGAAAATATAATGATGGAATTTGATGAAAACAACAGAATACAAAGAAACAAAAACAAACAAACAGAGAGAAATAGCACGGCATAAAACCTGACCTATTCAAACCCTTCAATCCTCCCAGCATGACCGTCTTTAGCGCCAGTGGTGACAAGAAAGAAAAAACGGGATAATGTGTTTGACAAATCCTGCATCTGTGAAATCTACCAAAATAAAAACATCAAAACAGCTGCGACCTTCAGTTTAATGAAGTATATGTGTGTGAAAATTTACTTTGCAGAGCATTCATTTATCTGTTTCAACCCAGATTGCTGAGAATGGGATTTGGGACCAGGAAATCAGTTAGTGCAAGGCAGCACAACGCAACAACCTCTGTGAAATTCAACCGATTTGTCTCAATTTCCACCATCAAAGTCCTACTGGAATCATTGTGATCCTATTAGTGAATGTCTTAGGGTGAAGATGACTCCATTGAGCCGTGGAGAGGGGATGGGGGAAGGGGGGGTCCGACAGCTGAGCAGGGTTTGAACAGCGATGGGTAAGAATTGAAAAGGTGGAAGAGAGGAGTGGTGGAGAGGAGGAGATGAGTTTGTAAAAGACACCCGAATTGTGAGTAATGAAACCAGAGAGGAGCACCGACATCTCTTTCATCTTCCAGCAGACTTGAATCGCTCTTTCATCATCGTCATCCAAAAAATGTGCATGCTCATAGTGCCGTCACATTTACCTGCAGGGAGGAGAGAGACATTTCACTTTCAAAGAAGATACTCTCCCACTCTCCCTCTTGTTATTGCTTCTCAGGTCCTACCGGGTGCAGAGTCCTTTCATACACAGCAAACACCCACTGTGACGAGCATGAGCAGGTGACGGTTATTTACCCAGAAATTAGCTTTGTTATTGTACCTGAAAAATTAAGAGTGACGGCTTTGAATGGCAGGCCTACAAAGCAGAATAACAAGAGCATGGGGAGGGTGAGGGGAGGTAATATCGGAGTCCCTCATCAGGATGACAGAGAGCAGTGTGAGCAGCTACAGTTTCTTCTACACTGCCAAAGATGAAATGATTCGAGGGGAAGGGAGTTTCATTGCTTTGATTTGTGTTGGTCTGTCTGCTGTTAAAGCTCAAGTCAAGTCACATCAAAGTCAGTTGTGTTTTTTGTAAGGCTTTGGTCCTGACTGAAATGTCTCACAAACTATTTTTTTGGACATTACATAACATCGATGGTTCACAGTAGAGGAATCCTTTTGGTCTTTAAAAGCTACAAGCAGGTCAAAAAGTTAATCTTCCAAATATTTTAAACTCCCATGGGGAGTTTTTTTTATGTTTATGAAACAGACTGAAATTCACTTTGATACCTTTTCATGACACTTAACGTGGGGTAGGCAGGATTCTGTTGAAGCATCTTTTCATGTGGTGTATTACAAAAAATCTTTTAATATCAGTCAATAGCTATTAGTTATTGATGACATTTGGGAATACCACGATATTGGGCTCTATTTTCGTTCGCGCCGGTGAGGCGGCGGAGGGCGGCGAGCCCCGCTCAGTTGTATTTTCGTCTGGCGGAGCCCGGCGTAAGGCGAGTTTGGTATTTTCGTGGACTGAGTCGCACGGAGGCGAGCCGAGATCCGCTAAGCTGGGCGTGGTGGCGTGGCAGGGGGAGGTGTTGACAGAATCAGCTGGCGCAGTGACATTTTCGTGCTCGCCACCGGCGTGTAACGTGCGCTGAAAGCTCGCCGATTCAAACCTGGTCAGCTTTCAGCGCAAGGCGGAACGCAGCTGGTCTAGTAGTATTTTGGTAGACCGGCGGCATATCGACATACGTCACTGATGCCTAACCGGCAGGTTTCCACAGTGTCAGGCAGATTTCAGTGCAATAAATAATCATCATCAACTATTAATCTGAGACAGCACATACATTTAGATCTATATAGATATATTCTGATCTATATCTGATCTGATGAGCGCGTTTGGCACGCGTTTGGGCACACAACCTGACCGAATCAATACAGCTGAAACTGCATTAAATTAGATTAAATAGTCTAATCTAGTAATTAATCTAGTAAATAAACACACATGATGAAGTTAACAAGATATGTAATTCGTCTCCCTCCTTTTCTTTCTTCCTCTTATTTCTCGCACAGCTCGACCTGGACACGTCTCCGTGTCCTCTGTCCGTCTTCCTGCTGCTGCTGCGGCTGAACAGATGATTTGTTTCAGTGCTCAGATGCGTTATCTACTTTAAGCCGACATACGGATATTATAATATTCAGTTTTGTGGGCCAAATTTATTTTATATGCCAACATCTATGAAAGAAAGAGCCAGGCCACGGAGCGCGATGCGTCATTTACGCACAGATGGTTCTGATTTTAATGCCATTTTTGGAGTTTATGTTGTGATCTGTGCGCTCAACCCACCTTTGTCACGTGAGGTTTGAATATATGCAACTTTATGTGAGTGTCTTTATTTGTGGAAAAGGGTGTTTGTCTTACCAGTGGGTCCAACATTACGCACACCAAATCCATCTGTGCTCAGATGAGAGAGTGTGGAGGACACTTGTTGAGGAGCTGCCCTCTGTCGCCATCGTGTGGCATAACTGTCTTCAGACATCTCTTGATCTCTTTGACTACTTCATGAAAATAGTAATACGCCTCGCCGGTGGCGGATTTAAAGGCAAGGAGAGGAGCTTATTTGATTGGTGAAAACAGGTCTCGGCTGTGTTAAACCGACTCCACGCCCTCTCTCCTCCCCGTCTATGACTTATGCTGCCGGGAGGAGCTGAGTTAGGGAGGGGGGATACTTACGCCGGGCTGCGCGGCTCACCAAAATACCAAAATGTGCTTGGGAACGCCTTGTCAGCGCGGCGGATCTGATTGACGCTGCGCTTGCGGCACGTCTCTGGCGAGGCACCAAAATAGAGCCCATGGTGTTCTCTCCTGTCTGTGTAGTCAACATTCTAAAATTTTTGAGCAGTCCGCTCTTTCTGACTGTAAACAAAGCTGTTCTCCGCCTCCCCCAACCTAATTGGTTGTGAGGCAGACGCTGCTTCCTCGTGTTGTGAGGCACACTCCACATCCTTGAGTAACATCAACAAGCCCAAACAAAGTTAGTGCGCTGCCAACACAGGCAAGAAAACGAAAAAGAAGACTCTGGCAGAATAATGACGCTTAAAAAGGAGGTAGACCGGATAGGAGCTAAGAAGCCGGGTCAACATCAATGATAAATGATGGGGGACTTTTCAGGATCTTACGGACCCTGTAACCTTTCTGCTGGACAGGTAAACTGCTTTAACAAAGTAAGCCAAGTGTCTGTAACAGAAGTGCTTCTTGTCAACTGGGACCTGCTGCGTGCTGTAGCCCTACTAAACTGTTTACCTCGGGTCCTGGACTATGTCACCTTATCCTAGTTGTAGAAGTCCTGCAAACATTGTGTTTGGTAGTCTGTTGGCATCTACAGTAGCACCAATGCTTTTTACTTTCATGTTGACTGGACCCCATTTGTATTTATCTGAAGTATTTATCTGCATTATATCTGAATTTGGAACAATACGAGCGAGGACCAGCGTCTGTTTGTGGGTGGGGCTTGCTGGAGCAGAGAGGGAGGGGAGAGGAGGAGCTGAGGGGAAAACTGGTTGGGAGGGGTAGAGTTTACATTCAAGATTTCTCCCAAAAACTGGTACTTCCTCAGATCCTGCCTATTCCCACATTTAAAGGCAAACAGGACCATTAATAACAAGAATGACCACCAGGGACATGAACGTTTATATTTATATTATAAATTTCAATGACTGAAGGGGGTAGGTGTCACTTGAGCAGCTGATGAAACAGCCTTGTTTTTACAATTCCCATGTAAAATATACACAATAAATTATAAGTCTGACAGTCAAATGTCAGCAGGGTGAGAGTTTCTGTGTTCTAGCATTTAGAGGACAAGATAGGGAGAAAGGTATAACTGTTTGTCACAAACCAAAGCTCCTCACAGGAGTTTAAACATTTTCCGTCAGACTGGCAGCCATCACCTTTTCAAAGATTTGCTTGTCAGGTCCATAGGCATATTTTTCTTTTTCTTTTATTTATTTATTTTTTTGGAACTGTATTCGAAAGAATAGGACAGGGGATAGACCAGGAAATAAGGAAAGAGCAGGTAATGATGGGAGTGATGGGAGTGATAGGAGCTGTAGCAGGGCGTCGTTTGGGTATGGCAAGGTATGGCACTTGCCATAGCTTGGCTTGTGTGGAACGGACGGAGTATACTACCGGCAATTCTAGATTTTAACCCCCTGGTGTACCGGGGGGGGGGGGGGGGGGGGGGCTTGCCATACCTTGTCTGAAACTGAAATGACACCACTGAGCTGTAGGCCATCCTGGGCTATCTGCTTGTGGCAAAACTTCTCTGTATGGGTTGCTCCCTTGGACCGCTGGGCCATTAACACCCTATTCACCACTTTTTCGGGTCTCTCATCATGACCTTGGACATAAGCAGGCCTAGAGTGGCTAATCGGGTGGACCAGGACATTTCCCAGTGGGCCGGTCTGATGTTTGGGCCGTGGCCTGTGTTTAGTCATGACACTGGGTTGATCACGTATGCTGCTACCGCTGTCCCTGAGCCGCCTCTGCTAACGTAACACGTCCGTGCACTCGGTCTGTGGTGTTTGAAAGACGGAAAATAGAAAGAGCTATGATACATGAAGTATAGACACCAAACTTTGTAACTTTGCAGTTTTTGTTATAAATGTGGAAAAGCATGATACTCTCCCTTTAATTGGAAATATTTTAGAAAAGTACACAGAATTTCACAGGGTTTCAGAACAACTTGTAGACTTAACGTGAGGTTACAATGGCATGATTTTAATAATTGTACGTTGTGATCTAAAGTGAGCTGGTATGACGCATGAAACTCCAGGGCAAAAAATGAGTCTCACTCTGGCCCTGGTCATAGGTACCACTAGGTTTCAAAAAAGATTTGGCTATTTGCTTTTAAAAGTAAAGTAGAAGTACCTTGAATCTGGATTGCCTTTCATGGTCAGCAGGGAGTGACTTGCTGCATGAAGACAAGTAATTAAAGTCAACCACTTGAAAAATGTTCCTCTCTTTTTAGCTGCTTTGATAACTTAGAAAGCATACTATTATTGAGTTTATTTTCTCATTTTCTATTTCCTTTTTTATAATCTGTCAGGCATTTTTCCCTTTATGAAATAGCAAAGCTGCAGAGATAGAAAATTTAGGAGGCTCAGATAGTGGGGGAAGATGTGGAGGGTCATGGAGAAGTCAAAGTAGTGACTGCTAAAATACTGGAGTCTCTGTATATTAAACACTCACTGTAACTGCTGAGCCAAACTGCCTCATCTGAAGTCATCTCTGAAACCGTTTAAAAGCTCCCACTCAACAAAGCACAGATAAGAAAATTGTAGGCAAGTTTCACCTCTGCTTTTATCGTCAGAACTACTTGAGCACATAGTCAATAGCCAGGTCCTGAACAACAGTCCATTTGATCCAAATCACTCCACTGAAACTGCACTTTTGTCTGTAGTGGAATCACTGTGATTGACCAGAGCTGCTGGTCAGTCCCCACTTTTATTACTCCTGGATCTGTCTGTCCTCCTCTCCACTTCAGGATTTTCCCCTTATGGTTTACAGCTAACTTCACAAGTACAGTCTTTACAGTATCTGAAGGGAACAAGTGTCGAAATAGTATGGCTTATCAACAGGGGTGCCTCCAGGATCAGTGCTTGCTCCTCTACTTCTCTCTATATACACTATCTCACTTGATGCAATTCCTCTCTATGCAGATGATACTCAACTCTTTCTGTCACTTCCACCAACTGACACAACTGTCTTGCTTTGATTTCAGCATGCCTCACTGATATTTCAAAACTGATGAAGATCTATCCAAACCTGAGCTTCTTGTCATTCCAGCAAGTCTCTCTATTCAGACACGGCTCAATATCAAACGTGGATCAACCAAACTCATGCCCACCATGCCAACCTGGAATCCAGGTGCCATAATCAATGATTTGAGGTTCATGTGGCCTCAATTGCTCATTAATTCTGATTTGCCCTCTATAACATCAGGAGGTTCAGCTTCTACCCAACCGAGCATGCACCACAGCTCCTGGTATAGTACCATTGACTCATAGTACCGTGCATTGACGGTTTCTCACTGGCATGCCTCCCTGCATGCTCATTTACACTTCTGCTTGTTGCAGCAGCCTGACTGGTCTTCAAGCGGCCCAAAACAGCATGTCACTCCCCTGTTCACATCCTCAAACTTGCTTTTGATTGCAGCTCACATCAAATTAAAAAACACTAACAACTTGGCTCCTGCTCCCCTGTGGTCAACCCAGGTCCAACCTGCCTCTCACCCTTACACTTCCATCTCACCAGGGTCAAGCCCTTCTCCTCTGTAATCCTCTGATGGTAGAATGAATCACCGAACTCAAACTAATCTGCAGAGTGTTTTTCTACCTTTAAGAAAAAGCTAAAGACCCAGTTCTTTGTGAAAAACTCAATACTTGGTACTTGGTGCAAAAGTGTCATTACTTTCATCTGGATCTTTGCTTTTGTTGTTCTTACTCTCAGATGTACGTCACTTTGGACAAAAGCCTCTAATGCATGAAATTTTAATATAATATTGAGTATATTAAATGCCATTTCAAAACCATATACTACAGTGTATATTGACTTTGCCGTGGTGCAGGGACTGTGACTATCCAACTAGCTTAACTCTTGCTTGAAAAATGTTGGCTAGTCTTGGGTTATTACTTAAAAGAACAAGTGGTCACATACAACTGACTTTTCACAAAATGATAGGATTAACACTGACTTGACAACACCATTGTTTACCAGTCCACTTCCAACTCTTAGGATCCTGTCCTTAGGATCTGTGTTTTATGAAGACCCAATAATGGAGATTAAAATGATGATAAAGCTGACTATGGCTTCTTATGATGGATTAGTCTTGATCACGGTAGCCTGTCAACTTTGAAAAACACAGAAATTCTTGTTTATCTTGCCATCCTCTTGGCCACTTAAAGCTCTAAAAACAAGATGGCAGCTACAAAATTGCTGAACTCAAGGTTAAAAACAGGAGTTCAAAACAAATGAAAGTGGCTTCATCTTCTAGATTTATAGACTTCTTCATGATGAATTTATTGCTGTTGTCATGGCGCTGACATAGACAGTAAAGGAGCTGAAGGAGCTGCCTCAGGCCCTTTTCCAAGATAAATCGGGAAAAATCCATGTTTATTTATTTTATTATTTATTTTTTTGTCTATTAATGGGTCTTTCACACAAAACAGTCCCTGGATTACATGGATTACAACTCATCCAAAACTCAGACCCAAATAGGTTGAAGAGTTTAATCTTCTACAGCCTTTGTTGGTCTCCTATTGTTGTCAGATAAAAATTCAAATCCTCTTTATGGATTACTTGGTGATCTGGCTCAACACTTGATCCAAAAGAATTCAGTCATTTAACAAAAACTGCAGATCAAATTGACCCTGACTTGCTCTGTTTTTACACTTGGCCAAAGACTGAACTTTGCACCCAAGCAATTTCATAAATTAAGACTCAAACTTGTGTTTGTGGTTGAATGTGAAATGAATGAATTCAAGTCTGATGAGAACTTTTATTTATTTATTTTTTTTACCTTTGTCTCATGTAATCTTGAACCCTTAACTGCTGTTGTAGGATATAATGCTGCACAAATGAATTTGAGCTGGACTAAATGGTCCCCCTATTTACAGTCACAGTACTCACACAGCCGCCATTTTCCTGTGATGTTAAGCTCAGGGTGTGAAGCTCAGATGCTGCTTTAATAAGTCATTGTGGTTTTAGGTTGTATAAATGAAGGAAATATTTGAATAATCAAACCAAAGGACCAAAATACTTATCAATCCAACCGTAACTGTTCGATGACAGCTTATAACAGCATCCAACCACTTATTATCTAGCTATTGCTGGTTTAAGATAAGTCAGGAAGATGCTTGTAACATAAAACTAATTGATTATTGGAAACCTTATCAATCAATAAGTTCTGTGATGAGGGTTTAAACGCTCACACTCACTCTTGCCAGTTCAGAGTAAGGTCAGGTTTTTCTGTCTCTTTGAAAAGTGATTTTTTCTGATAATTCTAACACTACTATTTTGTCAATCAAATCCTATGTTATATATTATATTGATGCTTTTCTATGATATACAAAAGCAAACAAGACCATCAGCAAAGAGATGAATTATTTTTATGTTGTGGTTTTAAATGCCTTTAACTGGTGTAAGAGGGTCATGTCAGCTAAACAGCCACTTTAAGTATTTACAGTAATTCCCAGTTTGTACATGTTTGGGTATTTTATTTTAATTTAACAGACAGATGTTGTCTGTATACTAACTGCTTTAGTTTTGCACTCATGGTCTTACTTTACTTCTTTTCATTTTGAGCAAAGTGTAAAATAAAGAGAAAAGTTTGTGCTCTAGTTTCTCTGAACATCTGCTGGTGACTTGAACCTGGTTTGTCACCCTCTCTTCATGTGTGCCCTCGTGAGTTTGTGTGTATGTGAGTGGGAGACAGCGTGCTGCTGATCTAAAGCTCAGTGGCCTTACTTTGTCCACAAGCAGAAGATGTTATGTGTGCAGACCATCTGACTGGATTTACTCTGACCCAGTTAAGCTGAATCCTCGGCTGCTGCTGCAGCACAGACAACCTTGCTTTGCTTTTACTTAACACGTCTCTTAACTGAAGAGACAGTTCAGTGAGAGAAGACACAGAAACTTTCACAGGGCATTTAGGTAGGAGTTTATTTACACTCCAGGAGAGTGTAGTCACTGACTGAGTCAAGTTGTAACACATCCTCCTCTGCATTAGGCCCCAAATTGTGATTTCTATTCCTCATTTCCACATGAAGGCAGGCATAGACATTTCAATCAAAACAAATGACATACAGACATTGTGAACCTCTATAAATTCTGCAGGTAAAAAACACCCATAAAGGGGAATTTCTGTGATTTTGAGACATAACGTCCCCATCCAGCTCCGGTCTTTAGAAATGCCAGTTTACCCTCAATAATTGGCTGCAGGATCCCCCTGGCTGTGAGATTGCTGTTTGTCCAGTTATGGCAGCTTCTGCTTTCAAACAGTCCCCGCAGGCCTGAAAGTGCTGATTCCGCCTGCTTTTATAGGAGAACTTACTCTCTCTTAATCGCAAAATGGTCTCCAGATGCCTTTTTTAGTAGGAGTCAGCCCCAGTTTGATTAATGTGATCGGGGAGTGCCGAGTGCTGCCAGGCTCAGAGGTGTCAGCCGGCACTGCTGAATAAATGAACATAACTAATTGTTTGTTTATGATTTGAAATATTAATAACACAGAATATATGAGGACGTCAGTTGTAATCTCCGTTTGGGAAAAACATGTAGTGGAGCTGCTGAAGCTTCATGTTACTGTTAACCATAACAGTGTTGCCTGCCTGGTGTCGGGACACTATTTATTTCACACTTCAGCGGCCACAATGGTGGGACTTTGTTTTTATGATATTAGTCCCTTTAGACAGAGAAGACTCTATTTATAATTAAAATAGCTCATATGATGTTTATTGGATAGTTCAGGGGAAAACATCTGAAGGGGAAACCGCGAGAGATCGCAGCGGAGATAGTTTCTTCTGTTAATGAGGTGATGAAATATTCTCAAGCAGATTGCTGCACATTGCAAATCTGTGTCACTTCACGGTATGTCACTCTCAGAGATGAACAAAGAGACAAGCTGTCACAGACATAGTGCAGTTTCACATCTATAGGGATCAGTGGCAATGAAAGTGGCCTTCACAATTATCATTAAGTGTGGTCGCACTGCAAAGATTATCATGTTCCTGGCCTACAAGTATTCCCGAGCTGCTGATTAATGGACTATTATACAGTATGTTCTGTTCTCAAGCCACTTAGAGTAGGTATAGGGGTTTCCACAGGCAGTGGGATAATGAGTACAGAGACCCTACAGTGCCTACGATGAAGCCTTGGAAGTCCCTACCGAGTGGTTTTGTTCAAATGTTTGGAGCTATGCTGGGGTTCAACCGGATCTCTACTCCTCGCCTCTCGAACACAGTGAGTTTAAAGAGGTTGACGCCGAATCTGGAGACTAAATCCAGCATCTCCCTTGTGGTGCAAACCTCGGGCAAAGTTTTGTTTACGCTGTGCTTTATCAGTGATCTTGGGAGCATTGTAAATCCTTTGCATCTCCTCTTTCATCTCCATACAGCACCTTGATCCTCGCTGCGCCATTAGCACTGCAGCAATAATGAGAGAGAGGGGTGAAGAATTGCAACCTTCTGGTTGAGTTGCTATGCCCTTTGTGTGTGTAAGTGTATGTATATGTGTGCTCGTGAGAGAGAGGGAGCGAGAGGGGAGGGGGAAGCAGTGGCATAACTCATTACAGAAAGACTATATGTAAATCCACAAGCCTCTGTTGTTGTTAATCTCACTGAGGAAGCGTCTTAACAATTTTTGTGCAGCACACGGCATGTGAAATGAAATCAGATGATGATGCTTATTGTGGATGTTAGTGGAGAGCATGGAGCAAGGTCTGAATTATTCTGGAGCAAGTAATCAGTTACCTCATTTTTATTTTATCGCTCAGTGAAAGGACATTCTCTGGGGCAGCTAAACAAACCAACGTGTTGATTTGCAGATGTGGCACATGGTGAATACATCCCTTTTACACTTACCAATAATTTATTCATTCATTGTTTTTATTTTCAGGAGAGGAGATTCTACCCAGGACACATTTATTCTTTATTTAAATCCATGTTGTCAACTTGAATTACTGACAGAGTTTCATCCCCACAACAGTATTGGTCATTTTATGCTCCTCAAAGTGACAAAAGAAGGTCTCGCTGATCCTAATGCTAATGCTGAGTGAGAGGATTTACACTGTCAAAGTAGACCGTTAAAAAGAAGATTAATATTTGCATTTGTGACTTAAAAGAAGCACTATTTATGGATTCATGCTGAGAATAAGCTATATGGTGATGCCTTTAACATACAGCAGCCTCTGTAACGCTGGCAATTTTTTAAAACTTTCTTTTAAAACATTTTTATGGATTATTTTGGGGGGTATCTTTACACCCATTGATAAGCTAGTGAAGGAAGTTAGACATGCAGCAAAAGGCTGCAGCCAAGAGTCAAACAATTGACTGCTGCAATGAAGATGAAAACCTCAATCCATCGAGAACTATTTCCCTATAAAATGTAATCCAGTTTCAGCAAAATAGGAGCTGTAATGTTTAAAAGTTTTTTTTAATGTAATTACTGAGGCATAAAGCGGGACAAATGCAGCCATAGCAACAATAGTAAATGTGAGGCATGAACTTAAATGAACCCATGCACTGATAATGGTGACAACACAACATGTTTGATAAAAAAATACCACTACCAAAAAAAAGACAAGGGGAGTAGTTGGAAAGATTGCTGCTGCGGTGATGTACCAGGATGGTAAGCAGCTAATGCCGGTTGGCTTTCGGAGTCTGCAATGTTTGTTTACTCTTGGCCATGTTTGATCATGAGGAACTTTACGAGATTTCCAGTTTTGACAGTTGAGACCCTAGTTGCTGGTGAAGAGTCTTCATGTCTGTGGTGTCTTGTCTTGAACAAAACTGTTGAATCTGTCATCATTTATGGTCATGTGTGGGTCTCTGATTTTTACACAATCAGTTAGGATTTAAAATAATCTATTAGTGTGTACCAAATTAAGTTAATTTACTGTGTTTCTCTTCAGGGGCTGCATCTTTCATCTTTGACTGTGCTTAAGCGGCATGTCGAAGGCTGTCCTTTTTTCTAAAGCTTGAAATGTGGCAGACAAATGCATCCTGTTTTTCCTGGGCCACAATAGATGCATCCTTCATAGCCCGACATATTCTCCAATTCTTTGTGCACCAGCTCAAACAAGATGGTGGACCCTAAAGAGATTGAGTAACAAAGCACATCCGGTAAGTATCAGTGTACGATTCCAAGTCATTACAATGAAAAAGAGAGTGATACAAATGCGAAAAGACGGACACTTTGAAAAGTGATAGTGACAGTGGTCAAGTGATGTTGCTGTGCATGAAATGTCAGCTAGTTAGCCAGCTTGCAACCTGTTATTTGGCGATTGGGCAAGTGCTACATGATACAAATTTAAGAGTCGGTGACACAGACAGGAAATCCTCCATAGACCAGACCTTCTTGATTTGACTTAGCCTGAGCAGTCTACACAGGCATCAAAGGCTTGGTCCCATACACTGTATATAGGATGGATGCTGTCTGCCTCCTCGCTGGGTGAAGCCACTCCAACAACAGAACTCTCTGGTGACAGGCTGCAGTATCAAAATCTGCACAAATCTGTATACTGGCGGAAGGTGGAACCAAGTTGCCCATAGTATATACAGTCTATGCTTGGTCCTTACAAGGATCTTGGATCTGAACACAGCTCTTGATTAGGTTTTGGTTTGATAACATTTCACTTTTTTTTGTATCAAACAAAATAAAAATTTTCACTGTGCATCCTGCCCAGGTTAAGATCATTTCTGTTTTGATGACTGGATTTGCATGTGTGTTTCATGTACTTTGTTCCTGTCATTGCACTAGATTTCTGCTAGTGCAGTTTTCCAGCTTTTTTTCCACTGGCAGTCACTTCTCACTGTTGCAGTTTCATGAGAAAGTTTGTAAATTTGCAGCTTACATAATTAGATGGAAAATGGTTTGGACAGTTACAGTGCATTTACTTTTTTCAGCCACTGTATATTTGAAAAAAAAAACACCATAAAACTTACTGGCTCAACACTGTGTACTCAAGCTCGAGTTCTCTATGCCCTGGTCAGTGGTTTAACTCCTGGTCACAACCCTTTTAGCACATACGATTCCCCTCTCTCTCCTCATCCCATTACCTGACTGTCCACAGACACCATCTAAAAAAAGAGATGCAAATCTTTGGAGATCTGTTTGTAGAGGCTACATCACAGACACTTGTGTGTCTTCCCTCATTTGCTTTGCAAGCGTCACATTTCACTGCCGCATTAGCATCATATTATTTAGCATCTTATCATTATTCCAGTCAACATTGCACCCCTATGACTACTGGCAGAATGGCCTCATGCTTAATTTTCTAAATTAACATGTCATCATGCTAATGAATGGGGTTTTAATAGCTCTCAGTGGACAGCCTTCAGAGTAGAGGAGAAAAAAAATCTTATGAGCCCAACTTGCCCACCCACATTTCCTGTAGACTAAAGATTTCACTATGCACTGAAGGAACCTGTGGATGTCAAATTAGGGCATAAAGAAAACAACATGGTTTCTGAGCAGAAAGAGTGTATGTGAATAAAAAGCATAAAAAAAAACTTCTTTACTGATGATTTGCATCACAAAGTTGAAACATGCAACACTGATTTGATGTACGTTGATCAAAACCTGTTTGCTTCTCCCTTTGTGTTCTCAGTTTATCGTAAAAAGGTCCAAAAGGAAGCAACGCTCTACAGTTTGTTTCTGAGGAAAACCTCCCAGCAGGCTTTTAAAGCAAGCTGTCTGTGCTGCCCTGACGTATCGTCAGCTATTATTCCTGATGCCTCCCATGGGGTCGTCCTCTCCATAAACTCTTTCTCTTCACTGAGCCCCAGCCTCCCATCACCAGCATGCTTGTTAAACAGACTCACACATTAGCCTAACTCATGTTTCCTCTGAGGCACAAAAGCCTGCCAACCCAAAGCTCCTGCTTATCACTCAACCCTGTGTGTATATGAGTGTGTCCATGACTGCTTTTACACATTTATACTCCTGCTCTGCCCTCAGATAAAACCACTTGACGTACATGTACATTTCTTTATCCCTGCATCCTTTCTCTATATCTCTCTGTGGGTGTTTTTAGTTCAGTTTGAACCATTCAGAGTGGCCTAAAATATCTTTTCAGTAGGGAGAACAAATTTAAATTCAGCACTCGAATGAAAAAAAGAAACATCTCGATAAAGAAGAACTGCTGTCAAACATATTATCATAAGTGTGTTAACCTATTATCGCAGCACATTCAGACTTACCCCAGCTGAAAAGTGATTCTGTCTTTGATGCATGAGTGTCCCCGGGTCAGGTTGAGCTGGAAATTAAATACATCAATTCATCTGTTCTGTAGAAGTTTTAAATGAAAGCACCACAACTTTTTCTAAATATGAAGTATATGAAGAATTCTCAGCAAAAAAGTCCAATCAAAAGATCCTGGTGTTAAATAAAATCAGCAGAACGGGATGCTTCAAGAGGATTCAAACCTGCACAGGTCAGAACAGTGTTTCTGAATAGTGCAAAAACAGCGAGTCAGCACCTACTTGAGCATTAATGTGTGCTTGTGATTAATGCCAGCAGCAGGCCATTACACAGCAATTAGCAGGACGATACACAGGACAGACCTCTCAACCCTGCCATTGAATTTGTGAAGCTTCAGCTTTAGAAAACCCTCATTATTGTCGCCTCTCTCTTCAGTTTAGCGGCAAGGTCATCTCTTGGCTGTCACTTATCATCGCCACTGGACTCTTAGCTTCTTTGCTGAGGCTCTTTTTAACAATAAACCTTTGGTATGATTTCACTGAATATTTGAGACTTAAAATTGTAAACTCTTATCACCTTCTTTTTCAAAATGAAAATAATGAAATATGAAAGACGCAGTGAATGGGTGTTTATGTTAACTAGAAACCTGACAGGGTGAGTAGTGCATGTATTGTGTTATCCTGAGGGATTTCTAATTTGCATGGCCACCTGTTAAAAAAGCCAAAAACATTTGAGCCGCGGGCCAAAACGTTTATATAAAGATGCTTTGATTGAAAATTATTTTTTATTTATAAAGCTTTAAAACAATAATCCCCCCAACAGAGAGTACACTGTCACCAATATCTCCATGGCAACAGATTCTTACCAGCATCCTTGAATTATAAACTTTAAACTAAACACAAGTGATGGTAACATTTGACAAGGTGAAAGAGGCATCTGCAGGAATATTTGTTTGGTTATTTCGGTCCATATTCAGCTTCCATGTTCCCCGATCTATGCAGCGGACACACCTTTGAACAAAAATAAGATAAAGTCACGTTAGTGTTTGACATTGTTGCCTATATCACTACCACTTGTGGATTAAGTTACTTTGTAGCAAATGGAAACTTAGGCATGTACTCACCAGCTCTGTTGCTGTTGCCTGGATTGCAGGACAGAAAATCACTCCACTTCCTCAAGACCCCAGGTGCAATGTGCTCTTGTAAAGAGAAACTTATGGGATGAACAAGCACAATAGCTTGTAAAATCATTTATTAAAGCTTATTTCTTTTGCATTTTGGCTCACATTTAATTGATCCTAGCTGTTTATGATGTGATGACATTCTGAGCTCTAAAGAACCAGAGCATCAGACAAAAAGATTGACATCTAATGTACTAGCAGGAGTGTCAGTGAAGTTAAGCACAAAAACGCTGTCCATGTACAGTCCAAATGTGACAAATTGACTTGGCAGTACTAAAAACTCTAATTTTGTGACATTTCAGATTTTTTTTTAACAAAAAATAAAAAACTGTTCATTTTAAAAAGCTTGGCATAAGCTAAATTGTGCTTGGCTGTGGTTTGGTGTATGATGGTGGAATCAAATCTCTTTCTGAGCTTTCTGCAAGTATTATGTAAGAGAAGATTTCTGTGAATGTCTGTAATGTTAAAGAGTAGTTGTAGCTTTTCCTGCTTTTGTGAATATCATCCTGCTGTTCTGATAAGAGTCTTTAAAATTGTGACTCTCCAGAGGTCAATCTTGAATGTAATAAAACCATTGATGACTTAGTATTGTACTCTACATGTCTGTTGAATTATGGTAATGCAACATCAGCTGTTATTCAAATAGATGAAAATGTTACACAAGTTCACTCCCAAATGAACTCCAAAACTTTTCAAACTAATCTAGAGGAGATGTTGAATGTCCTCAAACCAAATCCTGACCTCTAAACCAGATCTGCTCACAACAACAAACTCTGTCAAACTCACCTGAGAGGTTAGCTGGACTACTTCCAACAGCTCTGCACCACATTTTCAAACCCAGATGCAGAATATTTGCTTGTTAAAAAGATTTTAAAAACACACCAGATGCTCTCTGTTTAACCACAGGCATTAATAACCCTTTACCGGGACACGATCCAGATTTCCTATCTTCCCCAAACACCACCTTTCCCTGCAGTCAGTTTGACAAACTTTGGAGGTAGATTTTTGAATGCTTAATATCACCATGGCTTCTTACAGTGTACAAGCTGTTAAAAAAGCTGTTTGATAAGAGAGCCCAAGAAAAAGAAATGACAGGGGTGTAAAACTAGATTTTTAAAGGGGGAGTTAAACTTGATACGATTAAAGTAGCTAAGAGCAGATTTCTGTGGTGTCTCATAGCTCAGTGTAACAGCCCAGAGGCACACAGCTGTGACTTGAAAATTTTAACATCATTGTAAAATCAGTATTTAAACCTAAAGACAACTTATGGAAGATGCTAAAAGTTGAAATGACATGAAAGCTTCAGGAATAAATCATAGCTTTCACCCATCAAGCCTGCCTTACAGAAACAGATTAGACTGATTTTTACCCTCTTTGCATTCATCCTGAACGACAGCATCAGAGCAGATTGTGTCTGGATTTAATCTCAAAAGAACAATGTCTGATGAATCTTGATGAAGCTCCAACTTTTCTATACATGTTCTTTGGGTGCTCATCTCATAAAAACTGCATGTGCTGCCTGCAGCTCCTCCGCTGTTGGCTCATGGCGGATTAAAGCTGATTTCCCTTTTGGTTAGAGTCACTCATGTGAGGGTCCAACGCTAGGTGAGAGTCCTATCCGTGTCACTGATACCTAGCTTACTTTCGCTTGATGCTGGGCATGTCTCCGCTGCGCCCTAGCTCATCTATCACAGTAAGTGTGAATGGCGGATGGGGACGTTGGAGGCACAGAGGAAAACTGCTCTGACCCCCCCCACCCCCTCGCTATATACTTAGTAATCTGTGCCAAGGCTGCTACCTCAATGGAGAATGGAGACCTTGTGTTCTGAGGCTCCAGATGGGCAAAAACAACACAGCACACACACACACTCTCCAGCCACATAAAGAGATAAATAGAAAAGCTCTGAGGACGTGTTGATGCATGCTCGTGTTTTGTGTTAGAATGATTAAAATGTGATGTGATAATATTATCAAAGGCCCTGACAATTCAATTTTTCATCCTGCTTCAATATAATAAGTAATAAGCTTGTAAATGGGTACAGTATTTTCTGCCAGGATTTCACACATTTGTATATCTGACATGAGAAATGAATGTATTTGTCTTTTTTTGTCACTGCTTTTAGCACTGGTTTAAATTTGGCAAGGCAACCTTTAGAAAAGTAGATGCCTCATATTTTAAACGCAAATGTTCTTCTGCAATATTGTAACCACAACACAATGACAGATCTTCAGTTTTTGTTTTGCAGAAGTCGTCTGGCTTCTGTCAATAAAATTGGATCAAATTAAACCCACAAAATCTTGATAAAAGTAATTGGCTGTATCCACTTGGCAGTGATTTTCTGCTGCTACTCAGGGTGGGAAGCTGAACAAGATGTCCTAAAAGATGAAATAGTCTGTACTCTGTTGAAGGCAGCTAGTCACATGAATTTAAGGATTATTATCATTTCCCAACATCCTGATGTCTAGGAGCTACAAAAAGAATTGCATTAAGGTTAAAATTAGAGCAACAAAAAAGAATATTTGAATATCTTTTTAGCTCCTGTGAGAGAATCGCTAACAACAGCATTACTTTGTTGCCATAACTACCATTTGATGATCTAAGATGATACATTAGGAAAGACTGAAATTCACAGCTCCCTTTACCTAGTGTTTCCTACACATTATTTATTTTTGGTGGGCTGCCACAACTAAATTTCTCTGCTTTTGGCACTACTTCAGACTCAGTATGTGTCAGTATATGCGGCGCAGTCAGGCACTGCACCGCGGAGTGAATGCTGATTATTAGCAAGTTCTCGTCTGCGATCACACAGGAAATAAATCCTTGTTTTGTAAACTAAACTGTTTTATACCCTCATTTCTGATCTATACCCATATGCATACATGTATCACACAAATCAGCATGGCACAAACCTTAGACTGTATATAGAATGGACTCTGTCTGCCTCCTCGCTGGGTGAAGCCACCACAAGAACAGCACCCTCTGGTGACAGGTTGCAGTATAGGTCATAAATTCCGCCTCCTCCAAAAAATCCTTATAGAGCTGTGGACAAACTTTAGAAATCTATTACACAGAATATATTTTTTTCTCCGCCCTGGTTGCGATGTTGACATGTAGTTACAGTAAGTCTTTTTTTTCTGTACAGCTTCATTTTTAAAAGTTATTAGGGGATTCATGTTTTTCTATGATTGACACTTGATACAGCCTATTGGAGTACAAAGATTGTGTAGCTCACCCGGGGGTAACGCTGTTTGAACTGAGCGTCATCAAAGCAACTCTTAGGGACTCTCCCGCCAAATGTGTACAATGCTACTGTGCAAGTGGTGAAGTGCGTACAACGCTACTGCACAATGTTGGTTCTAGAAAAATGAGAAAATCACGCAAATACCGAGAGCAATTCGGCTTCAAATCTGTATACTGGTGGAAGGTGGAACCAAGTTGCCCATGGTATACTATGGACAACTTGGTTGTGACAGTGAGTTTGTACCATAGACTGTATATATACAGTCTACTGTATATATACAGTCTATGGTACAAACTCACTGTCATGCTAGAAAGCATGTTTTTGGAGAATGTTGTTGATCTCTTTCTGTTCACCTGTTTGACCCATGTTCTATCTTCTATTTGGAAGAGGAGCTCCATAAGTTTTGCTTCACTTTTGGGAAGCTTTCATGTTGTCCATTTTCTATTGTAGTATATCCTTCAACCAACACTGTGATAATATTGCATCAATCAAACATTTAATCCTTTCACTCAGTGCTTAAGGAAAACAAAAACTGGTCACTAAACTTATATGGCTAATGACTAATGTTTGTTATTTTTATTCTGACTGTAATTAACAAAAGTCACAAATCTTTGAAAATGGGGGCTTTAATCCATAAAACTACACTGAAATGATAAAAACACCAAATTTAATTGCACATAGTGTATGCACAACAAAGCCTTGAACAACATACCACACACTTAACACAAATAGATCCAGCTGACAAAAGGATATAGGCCTGTCTGTGGTGAGGAAATAGTACAAAACATCGAACAATGTCTATTAACTGCACAGTTTATTTGCCTCATACTCCACATGGTTTGGTTGTCGGGCACTGAAAGCCTGCAGGGCAGTGAGTATCCTGCTCACGTCTGCAGTGGACAGTTTGAGCCTGTGGCGAAGCAGACAGGCGAACAGATCCACGTGTGGAGCCCCTGGAGGCGAGAGGCGGTTGATCCTGTAGCGCAGCTCCACCAGCTGCAGCAGGGCTGAGTCCTGTGATCCCTGAGTGTATGGGTAGTCTATCTGCAGAATCAGGTCCTGGATGGCCTCTGGGTCAAAGTGCACGCTGTATCCAAACAGCTGCATGCTGTTCACTTTCATGTAGCCAATGTTGTTGGATGGTTCTGATGCCTCCAGAGGCTCGTAGTACATCGTCATGTTCTTGTTTCCTCCTGATACCCCAGCCGGGTCCCTGATTCGACTCCTCAAATAGAAATGTACGGTCTCAAAAAAGCTCTTCCATCTGTTTCCCAGAGTCAATGTCCAGTTATAACAGTCCAAAGGGATATCCAGCTTGGTCCGCTCCCAGTCTGGGTATCCGTGCTGACCTATTGGCATAGTCCAGCTTTCTGAATGGCTGCCCCCAAAGGGATTCACGAATAGAGACATTGCAGGCTCAAGTGTGCTGTTTCTGGTGAGACAAAACTGCAGAGCAAGACCCAGCAGCATATGAACACGATTGGACTTCACTCGATTGCTCTTGAGCGTGAGAAGCATTCTTTTCCTCCAGGACGGGTCAAACCACGTGTTCACACGCACGTCATTGCTCACAAACACCGCATGCAGAGTGATGCGAGGGTCTCTCCGCTGCAGCAGGTAGCGCATCTCTAGATCCTGCAGGTCTCGGTCACTCTCCAAGCCCAAGTAGGGATCTGTGGGGTCAGGCACTGCTGGCCGGCAGACCCCCTGGGTCAAAGTGAAGCCCAAGTTGCAGCTGGAGCATCGGGTGCGGTTCTCTGCAGAACAGGAGGCACAGCGGGGGCCGTCACCAACAGAACAGGGGATGAGGCCCTGGCAGGGCGGGTGGCTGTAGGGGCAGGAGCAGCTGCGGCTCTCATCGCTAAACACTCCGACTTGGTTATTCTCGCTGCAGTACAAGACAGAGAGGGCGTAGCTCAGCCAGAAATGCAGAGGCCTGAGGAAGAGAGGACAGCTGAATGAAACTCTTTAAGCTTAAAACCACAAAAATGAGCAGACCAGACTCCAGAGTCCGACATAACTGATAAAAGCTGAAGCAGGACAAGTTTACTACCAATCAGGATCCTCTTCAACACTCAAGCTGCTGATTTGAGCCCACCACAAATGCACAGCTTAAAAGACACATGATTGATGACCTGCAGCCTGATTTGCTGAGTTACACGGGGGTAAAACAGGTGAAATGTTGAGGGCATAGTCTTCCAGTACCCTGCTAACAGAGATTGGCACATGCCCGTGAATATGTTGATCATGTTCCTTTTCAAACTGACTTCTAACATGAACGTTGGTTTTTAAACTCAGTTATCCAAACTTCTACCTTCTGGTCAAGTCAAATTTTCTCAGATTCTCATTTTCAAATTTTATTTATATAGCCCCAATTCACAAAAGTCGTCATCCCAAGACGCTTTCCAGCGTCTAGATCACGCTCATTGTTTGATGAATTATCATGACTCAATGTAAGATGGGATTTGGGCCATCTCATCTAACATGAGTGACAGTGGCAAGGAAAAACTTCCTTTTAACAGGCAGAAACCTTGAACAGGACCAGACTCATGCTAGACAGCCACCAGGCTGCTGCTGAGTTGGGGAAGAATACAGAGAGAGAGAGAGAGAGAGAGAGAGAGAGAGAGAGAGAGAGAGAGAGAAAGAGAGAGAGAGGGCAGGGGGAGAGAAAGACAACAAGATAGAGGGAAGGAGAGAAAGAGTGCAAAAATCTGCACTGAGGTGGGGAGCCATGTGATGTGGTGTTTGTGAATGACTTTCTTCTAAAAGCCAGATTCTGTACATGAATGATACTATAAAAAGCCATTTGGGAGCTGAACATGCCAGTTCTTACTGAGCCAAATGATCTAAATAAATAAAAAGCACCCGGAATCCCATCCTTAGTTTGTTAAAATTTGGATTTCCCCCCTGTGGGACTAATAAAGGAATATTTTATCTTAGCCTGAGAAAGAGAAAGGATCCAAACTTGCTCTGATCGGATAAGATGGATCACAGACAACTTGAGCAAGTTCATACAGCCTTTGTTGATTTGAAGCGATCATAGATCTTTATTGATACAGTGTGTTTGTATTAAATCTGCTGCTCTAGACTTGGATCATGGGGACCCTTTTCATTGTGGGTAATGGACTGTCAACAGATTTTAATGGGAAAGTTTTTGCTAACCTTATTTAATTTTGAACAGTTTTAACATATTCTGTGTTACTAAAGTCCATAGAATAAAATTTTTGATTAACAGGGCCCACAACTCATATGCCTCCTACAGTGGTGGTATACGGGGTGAGTAGAAAGAGATGCTTTCTACCCTTGTGGAGGACTAGATTGTCATGGCTGAGAATGGCAAAAATTTACGTTTTCTACAATTTAGATTATGCTTCTCTGTTGTCTATTTTTCAAACTATATAAGACAACTATTATTCACAATTTATGCTAGTCAAGCAGGTTGCTGACTACCCTCTTCAGGTTGGCTAAGAGCTAACAGGTGACTAATGTTAGCAGACAGAAGGGGCTCACAGTGAACACACGCATATAAACAAGTGACCTGTTTTGTTACTCAAGTAAAATGTTCTGCAGAAATGTTCTGGATGGGATAAATCTCTCAGGGAAGATCTCCTGGCATACATTTAGTTTAAGTAAAGAAAATGTTTAATTCATCACACAGTACTAAAAACAAGTTATGTTAGGTGAAAATTTACAAAAGGACAGCAAAACTAAAAAGTTATGTTGATCAGTGCAGAACCAGTATTAGCTTCTGATACAGTCATAAAATGTGATTTATCAGCGAGTTTGTCAAAATACTGATCAATAAATGTGCTCTGATTACTGAGGTTAACTGTGCGTAGTTCACACTCTGATACAAAAACAACAAAATATGAACAATATGAAGATCAATAGAAAGTTGTAACTCTAAGTTCCCTGCTTCATTATTTCCGTTTCACAACATCAGACGGCTTCAGAGCTTCCTTGATGAAAATAAAACTATAACCCCTCCAGAAAAAGATTTTTAAGCGACATTTAGAGTCTGAACAGTAAATACCACTAGAGTCGTTTTTGGGCACTTTTCATGCAGTCACAGATGGTTTCCAAATCATTTATGATCATTATGCCAGAAATGCTGGCTTCACACAAAACTTTTCTTTGAGTGACTTTCCTGTCGTGCATTTCAGTCATTTTTCCTGAGATTTTATTACAGTTGACACATGATTTTTCAGAGTTTAACCACATGGTTTACTTGAGCTCACCAGTGAGCTCGATTATTTGGTGAAGTAAGTCTGCGCTTATTTTTAGCTCCTGAAAAAGTCCACTGGAAACAGGTTAACTTTGTGTGAACATAAACAAACAAAAACAGTGCAAAGAAAGCAAAGAGTGAAATATGACACATAGAGTATAGTGTTTGTCAAAGCAGGCAAAATGTCAGTGCTGTTCCCTTTGATAAGACATAATTTATTATTATCACACTGGTATCAGGAGGATTTCCTGTCAGCCAATCCCCAAATCTTAGGATCTAAGTACGTATCAGGAAGGAAAGAATTAGATGGGAACATCTCCAGTTATTACAGGATACCTAATCTGATTTTTCATTTTGAATATTTCTTATGTTTTTGTTTCCCTGCTTATGCAGGAAAGGCAGATTAATCCTACCTTTCATAAAAAAAGTATGTATTGTTTTGATATGAGAGAACAACTTTAGCCAAACTCAGACACAGCTGGAGACGGAGCGGCAGAATCAGATCAAAATGAACATTTTAATCTATTGAAATCCTGCCGCTGAGGAGCAGATGGATGCCTCTGAAACACGCAGACACACACCCACAGATAAACATACCCATATTTACACACTCTTAGGGTCTTTACATTTTAAAGTTATGCTACTTTTACAGTGAGAGAAGAAAAAACACAATTTTGTTTAAATTCAATTACTATGTAGAAAGAGCAGATTAATAACAAACACAATATCCTCTCTACAACAAACACAAAAATCTGTTTCAATTTGTGACCCTGCACCACTGTTGAATCCCTCTTTTTTTTAACAAGCGATAGGGGTGTGATAAAGATGTGTAATTGGATGTGGACTGAGGAGGCCGTGCCTGCCTTTGACTCGTAGCTGATGGATTGTGTCATTTAGTTAATTTCCCTGCCAGAAATAGCTATCAACATGGAGTGTGCATGAGAGAGGCATAAATCTGAGGGAAGTTATGACCACCGAGGTCTCAGAGAGCTACTGAAAACTAGTGTGCAGCATGGGAGTGATGCTGAAACAGCAGCTGTAGCAGTGATAAAAAAATCGGTTATGTATTAGTGGCCTCAGCAGCTTAAACTCCTGGATGTGATTGTGATAAAATAAATGGATTATTATATGAGGAACTTAAGATGCTGGATTGATCGTAATGCAGTTTAAATCTGCAGACAGTGAAATGAGTCTGTTTGGCTGGACATGATCCCGTTTGTCTCTAACAGAGGAGTAGCCTTGCTCCTGTCAGCACTTTTCACCTCACTCCACAACTCCTCCTCTTCAAGTGCCTTCTAATAACCACTGTCTCGCTCGGCTGCTTTCTCCCAGCACCCGGCACATAAATCATTTTCATAATTATAAGTTTTTGGGAGCACCTTGGGTTAACAGGCTGTAGTATAAATATTCCTCCCCCTCACCCCCGTCTCGCCTCGACTCTTACCTCGGCCTCTGCAGGACGACTTTGGGCTGTTTTCTGCACCTCTTGCTGAGGCTGAAGAGCTTGTTAGCGGTGCGGCGGGCCTTAGTGAGAAGCTGGTCGCTGCTGGTCTCCAGTTGCCTGTAGCGCTGGGACAAGCTGGCGTCCGTCCTCCACAAGTGTTCAACGACAGATGTGTTTACGGCGTAATGGGTTGGCAGTTTCCCAACAAAGCTCTGAAACTCATCTGGTGGGAGGAAAGGAGACATGAATAAGTAAACTGCCTCTGGCTACAAGCCGCAGGGTAACAATATCAACACAAAAAACTGCTCATTGTTTGTCCCAGAAAAGCAAACAGCTGCAATATGCCAGAAGAGCAGGTTTTGTTTTTCTGATTTCATTTGGAGAGAGGACATTTTCTCTCATCTGCTTGTCGTATTCTGTTTCTGTAACCAGCTTTATGTTAATCATCATCTTTTTCCCCCAGAATACAGCACTGCACACCTTCAAAGCGGCAATTAGCTAGAGTGACACTGAAAGCTAAATTGCTGTTCCTGCCGTCAACAATGTGAAAGCGAGGCGTTTAGCTGTAATCACCTGTGTCAAAAGTAACAAAATGGCACATTTCTGAAGTTCCCAGACACTTTGTGATGCAGGGAGAAACTTTCTGACGCATTAGCATGTCACATCTCCAAAGGTGAGGCAGTTTCCGCATAAAGGCACACGTTATAGAAGTGCTTTCTTTTATTTAGTGTTTATAAAGTCAGAAACAGGCTGACGTGGAATCCAAAACACAGACATAAAGCTTCAACCAAATGGAGTTTGAGTGAAAGGTATGCAACTATAAGCTCTTTGAAAAAAAATCAATTCATTCCACTGTGGTGCTTGTATCATTTTGCAGCATTAACCTTGAATATCTTTTCTTGAACAGGAGGGTAAAAAATACTTGTCAAGTTTTGCTGCAATTATCTGCTTAAATTACCATACAAACACCCGTCAATGCGCCCTATCTGCTTTGCAATGGTGTGATGTGTTTATGGTGATTATAGCAATGTCTCAGCATTAATGCAACGATACATTATTAGAGGCTTGGCTGCCAGCCCAGCGTTGCTTAAATCACTGGTCATTTATTTCTAAGGAGGTCTTTTATAAGTTCACAGAGCTGAGGGAGACTGAGGTAAATATAGTGCACTCCTCCAGTCAGTGACAGAGTGGTACACACAGTTTTTTCCACCAATATAATGTTCAGCTGAGTTGTGTTTAAGTAAAAAACTCAATTAATATTTCAAGGTGTTCAATTCTGAGTATTGTTTTCCTTCTTTAAACATTTATTCTACAGTTATTTCAGTTACGAGATGTTGTAGTTGGACATGTGACATTAAAAATTTCAGATAAAATTACCTTTCTTTTTGAGAGTGAGATGAAAGTAATTTCCAGTAACACCCAGTTCGCTTCAGTTCAGGTTAAGATGAAAATAATCATTTATAAAATATCATTCAGCTTAGCAAAAGGAAACTTCAGCCAAAATGAAAAGTGTGTTTATAGCACTTAAAAATTATACAATTACTTAAAAAAAAAAAAAAAAATCTTTCTGTCACGTGGGCTGAAGTGGAGATGTCAAAAGACTGATTGAATTGGGTGATAATATATATATAGTGTATTTTTGGCTATGTATCCATTGTAAGTGATTTCAATTCTTCATACTACTTGAAACAGTTGATAGAAATTACAGTTTCGGCTAAAGGGAGCTTTCCTTTTGACAGGAAAATAAGGACACTGATACCACTGCACACTACTTTCAATATGAAGCTATAGCTAGCATTCAGTGAGGCTAGCTTAACAAATGAAATTCAACATTATAAAACTAAAAATAAAGCAGCTTATTTAGTGCGAGAACATAAAAAACGTTACAGTTTTTACAAAGGAGGAATTAACTGAATATTTCTGCAACTACTACAGCGCAGCTTCAATCTAATTAGCATAGCTCAGAAAAATGAAATGTTATCCTAAAAAGCACATAAATAGATATTAAAAACATACTCAAAAGAATGACCTGAGTTGATAAAAGTTTCATTTGCATACTTGAAATTTCACATTTGTTTCATGATTGTGTATAGCCACCAGCTTGCCTGTCTCTATTTTAAGGTAATCAAATACAGCTTTAAATAAACACCTCTACATTAAAAGAATTAACCATCATTTTTCCAGGCTTACATCGGGGCTATAGGCGTGAACTATATTTATTCTACAATGCATCAAACTTTGCTTTTTGTTCCACCTCTGGTATTCGATTCTTCAGAGCACTTTGTTGACAAAAGATGAACTTCTGAAAGAGTCTGTTATTTTCCCTGCAGCCCTGAGCACACGCCAACATCTGAACCATCATTTGATTTGACATTTTGACTGACAGCTTCCCAAATTCCTCGTCTGGCAGCTGTCAGAGTCTGACATCCAGGAATGCATTTAGAACAAAGACGTGCACATGTTCGACCTTATATCCAAGTTTATCACTTTTTGATAAAAACATCGTGCTCATGGCCGGAGTTCTGAAAAGGTTTAACCAGCCCGTTTTTCACCACAGGGGTTTTTGAAAGGCTCTGTTCAAGCTGACATTTTCAAGTCCACTTTTTGGGGGTCAATTACACTCACCTGATTCCTCAAACTCTTGGTTGGCCTGACTCAAGGCGTCGGTGAAGCGCTGCAGGTTTTTCTCAAGCGTGTCCAGATCACCATAAGGACAGTTACACTGAGGGAAGTCCGTGCTGCACTCACACCAGCAGTCATTGTTTCGACACACAAACTGACCCTCAGATTTACAGCCGATGTAGTCAAGAGCCGCCTGAATGAAGCAGCTCTGCAAGTAGCTGGGTAGGATGACCTGCAGCCCTGTGGAGGAGGAAAGAAAGAGTGAAGATGAAGGCTGAGGTCATGTTTGACAAACTCGCTATATGAGGTTAAAATCCTTGTCTCACACGGATAAAAAAAGAGTTGTCTGTTTATTTCCTACTATCAACTTAGGCTTTGTAATGAACCAAGAATAAACGGAGAGGGAAAAATTGTGTCATTTCACCTTGTTTAGACCTCTACCAGTTAACATAATTTGGGATTTCAATGTCAAAACAAACCTTTTAAAAAACTTTTATGAATTGTTAATTTCAGGGAAGACGGACATGATTATTCTGACGGCATTCCTCCAAGGTAATTTTCCAGCTGGAGTCGAAATCCAGCCTTTGCAAAGATGTAATTTCAAGGTATTTAATTTTTCATACACAAACTATAAATACAGGGCACTGTGGGTCCTGTTGTGTTTACAAGTAAGTCTTTCCCCTCCAGTGCACGCTCAGACATTTAGGCTGTAAAACTCCGGCAACAGTTAGAGACCCCTGGATGTTGACAGACGCCTGATGGGATTGTGAGGGTAAAGAAGTTGACCCTAAATAGATGAGGACGTTGAACTGAAAACAGCTCTTGTTTATCATCACTTAAGTGTGGTGACTGGGATACTCTGGAGTACAGTCCATGTGAGATGTGCCTTGAAAAAGCATTAATATGTGAGTGAGTGAGTGAGTGAGTGAGTGAGTGTGTAACAAATCTTAAGAAAGAATAAAAAATTCTTGGTCAAATATTGTCTGAACAGAGACACTGAATCCAAGTCCACATAGAGGGTTTCACTTTTGAACCAGTTTTTTTTTTTTTTTTTTAACAGTGTTTATAGGGATGTTTAAACAATTTTTTCAAAGGATAAAGTTTTGTCACTTAGCATACTGTTTAATTTTGTTTTGTATCATCGTATATTATATTGTATTGTATGGTGATGTATTTTATTGAACTGTATCTTACTTTATCTTATCCCATCTTATCTTACTTAATCGTTTGGTATTGTATCATATTATATGGTAATGGGTTGTGACATACTGATTGGTTAAATATTGAATCATATAGAGCAGTACATTAATGTTTTATAATATACTGAACGTAAAATATTGAATCATTTTGATTAGTTATATGTCCTATTGAATCATATTGTATCTTACCCTGACACCTTGTATTGTGTTGAATGGTATTGTATAGTATTGTGTTGCAATGTACCGCACTGTAAAAAGGCGAAGCTTCCGGAGGGGCTAGGGGGGCACTGACTGGGTATCCATGGTGCTGAACTGCTTTGAATTTGTGTTGCTTTGTCATCAGGAGCCAGGTGGTCTAAAGCTTTTGTTATTCCCTTGGTTTAATAGACTTGATGTCCGTTTGATTGACTTCAAAATGACATAACCAAGTGTAAAATATGCAGTCATGCTTGTAAACCCTGCTGTTGCAGGCTTATGTTTATTATTATGCAATATTATCATGAGCCTTACCATGTTCAAAGGGTCAGGTCATGTGCTCAGCCTCCGCACTGATTCATTCCGCTAGTGATACTGTATCATACTGTATTTCATGGCAGTATACTTAATGTTAGGGCAACATAAGGTATCGTATTGTATCATTGTGAATAGTATTAATAACGTATCATGTTAAATAATTTTGTACTGTGTACTTGTAATGTATTGTATTGTCATAACTGCACTGTACTGTATCCTACTGCAATGTCAAATCATATTGTATCATATTATGTTGTATTGTGACGTAATATATTGTATTGGATGGTATTGCAACATATCATATTGCATTATATCATATTATATCACATGATAATATATTGTGTTGAATGGTAAAGTATTATATCATAAATCTCCCCCAATCGAAAATCTATCCATATCACTGAAACGGAAAAAGATACATCATACACCTTTAAATGTATCATGAACACAGCTGCGGCCTTACATCCTCAAACAAGTTACTATAATTTGTTTAGTAGTCAGGGCTCAGGACATGTAGGGCATGTATGGTCTTAGTCAGAGTGCCTGTACTGTGGAGTTGTACCACTACCAAAAGAAATTAAGCTTGGAAATTTGGTTTCATTTTATATCCTTCTTCAAAAAACACTTTCATAAGCATGTATTTCAGGGGAGCAAGTTATTTTTTGTTTTAAACCACTTCTGTTACCAGTAAGTGTTATTGTTGTAGCTTACAGCTCTTTAACCTCATCCCTTTGCCACAGAACCCCGATCAATATCTTTTTATAATTCTGCTCACACAAAGGTTAGATATTGCTAAGGGACAACAAGGGAATGAACAGTCGACAACTAAAGAGTAGATATTGATGAGAACAGATGCTGAGATACGAAATGACTAATTAGTTAGATTAAAGGCAAAGATTAGCTCAGAAGTAACTGAGTTAAATGAACAATTACTTTGTGTTCTTTAACCAGCAACAAAACGGCACCAACACCCTCAAGAGAGCAAGCTCACACAAGTCCATTAATCAAGACCTATACAGTTGATTACATTGAAAAAGACAATCGCCATTAGTCCTGTGGTCTCATGATAAACAGAAATAAGGAAGAAAGGAAGAGGAATAAAAAGAAAACAATGCAGCTTAATTAACACTAAAATGATCGAGAAAACGGAGGGAGATACATTATCATTTGTTCCTTTATGAATTTACAAGGTTGTGGGAAATCTTTATTTTCTACTATGAGGATAAAAGAGAATTTTAACCATCATACAATAATAGATTGGACAAATAAACAATTATTGCTTTGTTCTTTTCCCACAAGTACCGTCTTCTACCTCATCATTAAATACAACAAACCCTCAAATCAGAGTTATTCAGGTTTTTACATTTGTCCTGTTGGTTTCTCACTAGCTCCTACAACAGAAACATAATATTTTGTTGTGTTTGTTATGACTCAACTAAGAACCCCATAAACCTCAAATTTGGACAAATCCCCCAATACGTGACACTTAACAATTAATTTATTCAGGAAATCTGATTTAACAAAAAGCATCTCATTTGAGACACCAACCTCCTGTCTTTCAAAGATTTATGCCCCTAGTAATTAAAAGACTGAATAATATATGGACAAAGTCTGTTTCTGAAAACAGATTTTGTCCAAGCCCAAAGACAATGGTTGCCAAATTGGAAATGCAGACTCCAGCTACTTTTCAGCTAATCTGAAAACAGAAAGAGGGGGAGTTTGGTGAAAGCCTTTGGTTTTCTGCCAAACAGCCACCGTGACAAATGAGCCAAACCTTAAATGATGCCAAATTATACAAACTTTTATTCTCCATATGATAAAGAAGAATGAGTCACAAAAAAAGTTCACTTCTTAACAGTTTGGTCAAACAGCAAAATGAGTGGATAACACCAAATGTGATTTGTGTACCAGGTTTTTGACAAAGCTATTATGTATTTTAACATTGGCTTTGATGGGGTTTCCTCTGCTTTTGGAGCCAGCCTCAAGTGGACACTTGAGGAACTGCAGTTTTTTACACATCTGTATTGGCCTCATTTTTCAACCCTGTTATAAGAAATATGTTTAGCTTGGCTGTGAAAGTTGTTATTCACATTTTGAAAGGGGGGACAATTTTTTTTTCATTAAAAGTTTAATAAGAACATTACCCCCAGCAGATGTTTAACTCCACTTAGTACTGTGACTGATGATGAAGGGAAACAGATAGCTAAAGACTGATCACACACTTGGCGACTTTTAACCAGCTTTACAACCATCAGGTATAATCCTCAACACAGAGAGAACAGACAATTTCATAAGACTGCTAAACTGCACACTTGACATTTGTGGTACCAATTTCACAGTGCCAATCCCAGAGGTACAAGATGTCATAGAAACTTGAGTGGTTCTGCTTACGATGAACCTTGAATCAGTTCAAGCTCTTCATCACAGGGGTGCCAGATCAGGCTGTTAATTGGGCCTAAAATCATTTAGTGTGTGGCCGGTCTCACTCTGTCAAAAGAAAACTCGCCTCCAAATAACACCCTCAAACCTCACTTACGAACATTTGAATCATTTGTTTTACCCTGAGAGAAAATGTGCAAAAATCAACAGCGTTTACAACCAGATGGGAGGAGAGAAGCATTAATCTTCTCAACCCACTTGCTGCAAGTAATGAGGAATACTATCAGAAATATTTCAAAATTACAACCAAATGACCAAGAATTTCATAAAATTTTTGCAAGCTCTATTGAAACTTTAATTTTCACTAATAGGTAATGTTCAGTCATGTAATTCATGATTTTCTAATGAATAAATCAAGGACTGGAGTTGCAATCAAAGTTGCTGTTACTATTTATTTTCTTAGAAATATCTAGAATTATTTAAAATTCATCACAAAAAGTCTCTAATGTTATCAGTAGTTATTGGTATCAGTAATTTACCTTGGAGCTGGACTTTGTTTTCTGGACTGTGAACCAGAACAGAGCTGACTGTATCCAGATTGTCATAGTTGCTGCATCCAAGCGGTCCAGTTCTGGTTTCTGTCACCTGCAAGAATATGAGGAGAGCGAAATTCAGTTTTTTTTTATTGCTTTTCCCCCTTTTGTTATGTTTAAATAAAAAGAAAAGAAGGCAGGTAATCTCAGATAAGTCAGTGGAGGCAGTTATCACCCACATAACTTTAACATTACTCATTTTACTCTCATATCTTTAAAATGAAGGTCAGAAGAAGTATCAAGGTTTCGTTCCGCTTCACATAAATTTTGAATGTAATGAGTCACAGCGTCATATTTTCACAGGCTTTCCATCTGAAGGCTTTCCCTTCTCACTCAGATTTATCTGTTCTGATCTGGCGAAGGAAATCAACTTCTTACGGTCTAAAATCGTAAAACTGCTGCTCAGATTACTTCATTGAAAACAACAACTAATGAAGGTTTGAAAAAGACAAATTCTGGTGCACAAAAACAAAAATATATTTAAGAATAAATTCATTTCAGAGTTGCTTTTATTTTCACACAATTCCCCCCAAACCTGTGATTTTAATAAGCAGCTGTGTGTTGCAGGTGCTGCTTTAAATCCTTGGTGAAATGTAGTGTTCATCTCCCCCCTCCTGCTCTGATCCTCAATCTGCCTCAACTCCACACACACTCTGCAAAGTAGCAAATGAATGGAAGTCAGCCTGGCTGGAAATTAATGGAATGATACATCCAATCCATCAGGCTGATTCATAACCAGAGGAACACGTCCTCAGTTTGGTGGGGGCACTTGTCTTCATCAGAGGCTACTCACTTTAGCATCCACATTTGCCCCTCGGGCTGATTAATGCACACACTCTAATAGCCACTTCAGATGATAAAATGGATGATTGGTGTTTTATAGTACAGGACGCATGGCTGCTCCCCTATTCTGCTTCCTCACTCTCCTCTTAAAAGCTGCCGGCAAGGTAATCTCTCAGAAACCTCAGGTCTGTTTTCTACTGCTCTAAATATTCAGTAAATTAATCTGTATTAGGTGGTTAGCAGAGACACGTTCGACCAGCTCACAATAAATGTTTCACAACTTTATTTATCAGAGTCTAATAAAAATCAGATTATCCCCATTTGTGTGATGATATAAGTGTTCAGTGGTAAGAAGCTGCAAACTACAGACAGATTTGACAGCCTTCCTGCACCCTGCAGGTGAGACAGGTAAGGTTTCTGAGTGTCAGGCCAAATCAGTTAATGAGCATTTGTTCTTAATCCTACCTGATTAAATAAGTCATGGGAATAAGTTCCCTGAGCCGCATTTAAAAGAATTAGGGCATGTCACCCGAAGTTGAGCTACAAGTTGAGCTACTGTCAAACTTTCTGTTAAGTAAACTAACTGAAGCCTGAAGCAAAGAATAATTAATGTGACAAATCAGAATGTGCTCATATCCTGAGAATGCAACCCTAATTGTTGTCATTCAAGTCAAAGCTTTCAATACTAAAATGTTTTTGGATATCATATGCTCTAAAATTTTTATAATATTCGTTGTTTTAATATTTGATATGCATCAAAACGTATCATAAAAGAACAGATTCAGAGATATATTTTCAACCCAGAGCTGGTGCAAGCAAGCAAAGAAGGGAGGACAGCAGTAATGGCCCTTCAGTTTAGAGATGAAGTGAAAATGAAGGTGAATGGAAAGAGCACCGGTAAACAAACAAAGCAGTAAAAAAGTGGAATGACACGTTAATTGCCCAGCTTAACTCAATTTTATCTATATAGCACCTTTTGTACATAACAGCATGCAGCCCAAAGTGCTTCACAACAAAAGGAAGTTAAAGAGAGAAATTGAAATCCTCATGACTTTGGAAAAATGAGCATTCGAATTAAAACCAGAATCTATTACCATCACCAGGTGTGTAACATTTTTTCAATGTGCTTGTTGAAACCACTCAGCTTTGAGTACAAGGTTTTGCTGGCTGCTTTGTCTCCCACTAAAATAACTTTTTTTCTCATTCAGTTTTTAAGTTAGAAGAAGAAGAACAACTTTATTGATCCCTGAAGGGAAATTCAAAATTAAAGTTTGTGGCAAACCTTACATTGATTTCTATGAGACAAGACAGAAGAAACTGAAGTGCACTCAGGTCATGCGGTGTGACAGATATACACAGCTGAGTGTCATCGGCGTAAAAATGATAAATGATGTGCTGGTGTGCAATAATAGTTTTAAGTGGGAGCATTAGAGTGAAAATTGAACAGGCCCAAGGATGCGTCCCTGAGGAACACCATGTATACATCATTTGTCTCTGACACACATGTACTGAGGCCAAGACATGGTCAGAGAGACCTTCCTATTTCTCAAGCCTTTTAACTAAAGTTGCTGATTGTTTGAAAGAGGTAACACTCTAAAAATAAATAAACCCGCACCAACACAAAAACATGCACAGAAGAAATCGATCTTGTTTGCTGCTTCTTTAGTCTCACTTCCCTCAACCTGCCCTGTGTCTCTCTGCTCTTCCCTCTGTCAGAGCGGCTATCACGTTAAGTTCTCATGCACAGTTTAGCTAATAATCTTGTTTGGTGAAGTCCTGGTTGTCTTTCATGAAGATGCACGCAACAAGTTTCTGTCTGTCACATACAAAATGACTGCAGGAGAGGGACTGTGATGTCATCTGGTCTTTCTAAGTTTTTCCATTAGTTTGAGCTGTGGGCTGTAGACAGGAAGCTTCACACCACTGCACAAAAGCTGATGTCCATAAAATGTCCAAAATAATAAAATAATACAATTCAGACAGAAAGCACTCTCTCTGCAGAAACACACACCATTGCACATCTCCTCTGTATAATGAATGGTGAGTCAGAGAAAATACCTTTCTTTGAATGTAAGAAAAGAATGGCTTTGATTACATTAACTCATTTATATTTGTCTAACTGAATGCATTAACTGTATACTCTTGCATCCTTAGAAGGAACATGATAGAATTGTTATTTTTAACAATGGATAATAATTTTCTTTCAAATTTTGAGATGTAACCTTTTTATGAGCAGACCACAAAAGCCTTTTTGTCATCATCCATTTCTGATAGTATTCGAATTAATGATTTATCATCAGCCTTGTAATTGAAAATCCTTCTGAGAGAACACTGGCATTTTAAAGTTCGTTTTTCATGCTTATATACTGACATTTTTTTAATGTCCTGCTCTTGAACTTTCATTGTGAAGTGTACTACTTGTGATAGACAGTAGGCTGCAGAACTGAATGAAGAGGCACAAACTCTTGAGCTCAGTTTTACAGAAGGCTGCTTCAGCTAGCTTGCTAGCAGCAGCTGCTGCTCTCTCTTCACAACTGTTAAGTCATGGTTCTATCATAGGCTTTCTTTTTAACGTGATATCAACATTTTATTTGAAAAAAAAAAAAAGATGACTTGATATACTATATCGCAACAGCCCTAGTTTAAACTGAATCATGCAACCAAAGGACAACATACACTATACATGTCAGATATTTTCGTAAATTGTATGGGCTTGTACATATTTAAGATTACTGGGTCACAATGGCAACAGCGGACCATTGTGTCAAGATTTCCCAGTATGTGCAAGTGGGACTAAATCTCACTGAAATAACAGGCTGCTGGGTCCAGTTACCTAACAGAACAGATCTAAGCACTTGGTCAAAGACATCATGGTCCATACTTGGCCAGCTGTAACCTAGTGATGAGCATTTTGTCTTTATATAACCTGAAATAATTTCCTCCTCATTTGTGAACATTATGTAACATCAGCAGAGGCCGAAACCAAGCCAGCATATCTTGATTCTTCATATTTCCCTCTTTTCATGCACAGACGTTGAAGACTAACAACCCCCCAGCGAGCAGAACAACATCTTCAAAGAGGAACTATGCAATCTAGCTGTATTACATGTTTCTGGACTTTCACATACCCGTATTGCCGTGGATGCTATCTGGAGGTGGTGCAGTCTTCGCAGGGTGCTCTCTCTGTCGGTGAAGTAGGAAGCAGCCAGTTGATGGAGGGCCTCCAACGTCACTGTCCCTGTATTGTTTAAACTCCTGCTGCTGCTATGCCCACCATCCACTCCAGAGGACGAGGACTCCTGGCTGAGCTTCCTCTTGTCCACAAATATTGTCAAAGACTCCTCCCCTGGTGACAGACAGACAGAGGAAAGAAGAGCTTCATTAGTCCTGACTGAGTTGAGCTAATCACCTTTCATTAGTATCTTTTCAGATGGAAGAGAAAAGAGCAGCAGTGATTAAGTGCTGTGGGGGAACTGATGGCTTAGATGATTGGAGGAAAAGGCACAGACAAGGTCTCTGCATTTATTAAACTCTTCAGAGGACTCACTCAAGATAATCGATCAAGGTCCTTTGATTGTTTTAATTATCTTAATTACACTGGCTAAAAATTACATTAAAACAAAATGCATCTCTGATCCATCTAACTGGGAGATATATTACACTCTGAAACAACTGTATCAATTATTACACTACAGTAGGAAATACAAACTACCTCAACATAATTATAAAGCCTTTTCACACTTGAGGTCCTTTACTTAAATTTGGATAAAGCTCATGGAGACACCTTTTTCTCTAACCTCTTTAATAGCCTGTCTTGGTCTTTGATGGCATCACAACAGAAATTAAGATTCAAAAGTAATGCTTTAAAATGGAAACGTTTCTATCATCTCTTAAACTCTGCCTGAGCATCAATCTCACAGAGGGAGCATTAGGGAAAGACTGTTATGACATTTCTTTATTGGCCTCTGTATTCATATATTTAAGCTGTTTTACTACTTTTTTGAATCTTAATGTTTTCAAGCTCCTGTGAGGGGCTTTTCTCTTTGTATCATGTTTGGTGTCCCCTGTGGACAAAGCAGTCTTTGTTTATTTCGTCTTCCACGAGCTTAATAAATGTTCAACGCAGAAATTATCAAAAAGTTTCTTTAGGTGTTCAGCTGACACCTTTTCCCGGCATAATTTCCCAACATCAAAATTGAGAAAAAAGAATGATCATATTTGTTGCTGATGGCCTTACTTGCTTTTGTTTATCAAAAAAAATAAAGCATCAACATGCATTTTAGTCTATTTCATTCATGTTTAGTTTATTTCATTCACACATTGTGTGACTCTCTATCATTTCAAATAGACCCTCCCCCAAAAAAACGTTTATGTGTCTCTTGCAATATTCACGTCCATGTTTATTAGCATTTTTTGCTCAATGTCTTGTCAAGCTACTGAGAGATGGTAACCATATTCATGTATCACTCTAAGGCAAGCTAAGTATTACCATGATGTTGTTGTGTTTTATCTCACTTTTAGTCCTAATAAAGTTCACATACTGGAAACTGCGTTTAAATGCACTAACAAGGGTGAAGCAGTCTTTTCTACTAAGCAACAAAACAGACAGACTGATTATATCTGCACCTCTCCAACATAACTGCCATTTTAAATGAAAACATAAAGTTGATATATACCAGCTGCAAATATGCAAGCTCTGGCTGCAGAGTTACAGGAGCAGCAAAATCATGATGTGACCAGATGCGAAACAAAACTGCAGGTGATGCCATTTGTGATGAAATAAAATATGTAGGAATAAATTGACTGATAGTAAGCTAGCATGGAGGTGGAGTTATTCCTGGAGAAACACTCCTTCAAACGTCTTTCACCCTTTTTTTTTTGGCTCTTTCTGAGTAAGAGTTGCCTCTACGGATGAACTTTGAAAAAATTCTTAGAATCAGTCGATTTTTCAAATCGTTTCCTTTTAAGTCAAGACCAGATCCGGGTAAAGATTTAAGTTATTCACAAAGCATCTTAGCCTTTCAGACAGATCCTAGGTTGAAAAACTCTTGGGAGGAGTACTAAAAAAATGTTCGAGAGTTTCTTAAGCAGAGAAGGAAATCGGGGATAGGCAGAGAAAGGTTCTTTAAACATGAGGTGGCATCGAGGTAATTGAACACTACAGATTGGATCATGCAGTGATTAAGTTTGTGCTCACATTGCCAAGCCGAGGTAAGCCACAGCAGGAAAGGTGACAGCGACAGAAAGATATTCAGTAAGTGGAAAAAATGCATCAGTTTAACTTCTGTTTTGTTTTTATGACAAGTGGGCCCCTTGTATGATTAATGACAATAAATACTCAGAGGGCACAAAATCAAATCAGCAGAAACATGAGATTGACATTACGAGGTTCTTATCTCTCATGAAAAGTATTATCAGTGCATTTGAGGAGCAGACGCCTCTGATTATTTACAGACCAGTGCAGAGTGAGTGCAGATTACACACCACTTTATCATTTAGAGATGTTGGCATTTGGCATTTATCCATCCAGACACGGAAGCTGGGAAGTGGCTTTAGGCTAAGATGACCCACTTGATTGGTTGGTATCAATACTCTGCTTTCTGACTAGTCGCCCGGCTGTATTAAATACTTGATTCTGATTGGCCATAATTGCATTACCTGTTATTAAATCTAAGTAGCTATAGGTACGCCAGGGACAACAAGATCCCAAATATCTTATCAAATCAACCTCAAAGTAATGTGTCGACAATGTGGCGAAAATGTTAGTTTCTGGTAGCATCAGTGAACAACATGGTGGATATTTTAAATATTACTCTCAATCTATTTGACGGGCACAAGACTCAATATTTCTAATTAATGGCAGATCAGTGAATAGCAGAAAAAGGAAATAAGAGCAAACTATTGAGGGAAGTCACAAAGGGAGCTGTGAGCTTTGGCAGTGCGACGGTAATGGTTGAGTGACACAAAAATGCCAGCAGAGAAGTGATGCAGACGAGGATCTTACACAGGTGTCATTGCGCTTTTATTTTCTACATCTGTCATGAATATCAAAGGAGAAAAGTCAGCTGTTTTGACCTTATTGCAAACAACATCTCTCATCAGGATGCTTCACCTTGTCAGGTTTCTATTCCGCTGAATGACCTGGTCACTAAACGCCACCTTTACTTGGATGTTAAATGAGCTTTTGTCTGACACCAGACAACTAAAGTTTAGTCTTTGAATTCTTTCTCTATATTTCCTGAACACATCCTGTCACTTTCTAGTTAGCTGTGCAGTTCAGTCAGCAAACAACTTGTCAGATGGCTGACATACTGTGATCCTGGCCAGTTGTATTTTTATTGTACCTTATTTTTCAATAGAGTAAATGGTAAATGGACGGTGTTTCATATCACATTCATACACTGATGGCAGAGGCTGCCCTTGTAAAGTGTCCAACAGTATTCACTAATCCCATTCACACACTCCTGGCAATGTCACAGGAGCAGTTTGGGTTTAAGTGTTGATTATTAATTTTTAATGTCTGCTCAAGAAATGGGTAAGACTGTCCTTAGTGGGTTATTATATCCACAAGCAAAAGAGATGCCATAGTGTCAGCATCAGGCCAGCATAAAAACATAGTTATGAAAATGAAAAGAAAATATAAATCCACCTTTCTTTATTCATTCCAAAAGGCTGCCTCAAGTGCATTTTGAGTGTGTTTACAGTGCAGAAGGTGCTCTTTAGCAAACCATAACACAGAAGAACTGAGTCATCTCTAACTCTAACAGCATGTGAAGGCCATTCTGTCAATACACAACTCATTGGCTCTTATCCCAAATGTCTTCTTGCCACAAACACTTAGAGGCTGTCACTTCAGATAAGGAGACATCTGTAGATATGACAGCTCTTCTGTACCGTATTGAGGGGAAGGATGTATGGTAAATACAAAAGCAGACGGTAGTGCCCTTTTCTATACAGCTCCCACTGCAATAACAGCCAATATGTAAAATCTTTGTTGTCAATCAGCAAAAAAGTTGTGTTTTTTCCTTTTTCCCTAAAGATGTTATTGAGTTATGTCAGCAAAACTTCAGCCTGAAAGTGCAGTATTGATCTTCCTTGTCAGTTTGCAAAACTATAAATGCATATAGGTCCTCCTCAAGTCATTTCATTTCTGCTTATTTCCTCCACTCCAAAAGTTTCTGCTTGTAGTTTGTTTGTCCGTTTCTCTGCAAGATTACAGGAATGTACCGGCCCTGTATTCAACAAACTCTGTGTGAAGGTGAAAAGTGTGCCCATAAATTTTTCAAGTGGATTGCAATTTGACTCACAAACAAGTAGTAATGCTTAACCCTTACATTTTAGAGGATGAGTCAAACACATGTACCAAAGCTGTACTTGTAGATGAAAGTATTATTTAAGAGTTACATATTTGCCTTAAAAGAAGTCTGTACCCTCTTTATGCTGTCCTAGTTTCTTAATGTCCAAGTTGTATGCTCTGCTGATGTTTCCATCCACCTATATCCCCCATCTCCTGGACTTTTTCCTGAAGTCACTCAGGGACAGTTATCTCAAATCTTGTGGGACGAAATCAAACCAAGGTTATATTCAGGATTTTGCTTTGAACAGACATCTGCCTTAGATCGATCAAGTTTTAATGCCTACATCTTAAGCAATGTCTCAGTGTCTTTTAACAGTTGGAGATCAAGAGTTGTTCAAGGTGAATCAGAGGAGTGAGACCCTGGTATCGAATTAATGTGTTATAAAGCTGTTTGCTGCTAACGCAACTGTATCCATGTCTTCTCTTTTCTTCTTTGGATTACAGAGCACTAGTTTATTGTAGTGAAATTACAAAAAAGAGCTTTTTTCTCTCTTCTGAGATAATGATAATGGCAAACCATATGCTTGCTGTCAGTTTTTGGCCAGTCGCTGTATTTGCTGGAACAAAAGCTTCAATATAATCCTGTATTGTGGTACATCACCAGAAGCTGTTTCCAACAACTTTGCCTTTGAAATGTCCTCAAATTGGTAATTTTCTTACAGGAAACACTTTCAAACTGTTGCTTTCATGAATAAAATATACTTGTGTTGATTTACAAAAGAAAGAATGAAAAAATAGGCCAATTGCATTCAAATAATAGTGCTGTTCAAAAGAGACAAATCTCCATTTAGTGGATCATGTGATACAGTGCCAAACAAAGATATAAAATCTGTTTCACTGCCTTCTCCAATTATTTTTTGTATGCTAAACTAGAGTAAATTGATGTGTTTTGTGTGCCAAAAACCACTGATCCAGAAAAAAATTATTACATGCTTTGTTGTTTGTGAAGTAACAGCCGGTAAAATCGGCGCCCCATGTGCTGAGGAGAAAAAAAAGTCATATTAAGCTGTGTGAATGAGGCTCCTTTTGAAGCTCTGCGTACTCTACTGTACCTCCCAGAGTGGCAGACAGGAGGAAGTGGGTGCCATATTTCTTGATTAGGCTCTCGGTGATCGTCTGGAGGGTCGGTCGCCTCCCCAGTTGTCGGATGGTGTGCATGAAGTCGGGATCCAGGGGCAGAGCGAGGCCTCCGCTGCCACCAAGACTCTCCCGCTTCTCCACCGCCAGGCTGTTGACCTTCCATCGACCAAACTCCCTGGAAACACAACACTCACACACACACACACACACACACACACACACACACACACACACACACACACACACACACACACACACACACACACACACACAGAGGTTTTTGCTCTCTTAGTTTGGTTGTTGGTGTGAAAGGCCCCAGGCAGCTGTTTAACAAGCTGTGCTGAAAGAAAAAGTGTGTTACATACATCGAGGTGGGAATTCAGTGTAGTGTGCTAACACAATTCATCAACTACTCACATCACCAACACATGATGAAGATTTAATGTTATATTCCCCGAAGAGCCCCAATAATGAGCCCCTAGTGTATAAGAAAGAAATCTCAGTTTGCATATATATATATATAAATATAAACATATATAAATACAAAACAGAGTGACACAGTTGGCTCAACCATTTGTTACTCATGTTATCGTAATTTCCAATCCATTTCAATGACACATCTTTTGTTTAGTGTTATTACTTCTTACACTGACATTTGATTTTTCTAGATAGCACAAATGCATCATACCAGCCCAGGCCTGAGATAAACAAAGAAGTTATTTCTAACTGCTCTAATTGGTTGTTCTGTTTCACAGTTTTATCTCTGTGGAGTTAAGAAAAGTTTCTTTGTCTACAAACTAAATAAACTGTCCCTGGATGTGTAGAGAGTTGGTGGTGGTAGGGTGGGGGATCAGTGGGTCGGAGGTTTATTTCCTTACCTGTTTCTATGACCCCGATAACGCAACTAAAGTCTAGGTGGGAAGCTGCATTGAATGATCCATATCCATATGGCATGATTAGTGCTTGGTGTGATGAATTTAAGATAAGAAGAACTTTATTGATCCCCAAAGAGAAATTCAATTTTGCGCTATGGCCTGGAAAATTTTACTTTTTCAGAAATAACTCTGGGTCTGTTATTTTTTTTTCCTGTTTAAAGCACCTCCGAGGATCTTTCTATAAGTATCAAAGTCCCCACCCCCACCCCATCCATAATTAGACACCTCTTGTGTCTCTGCTGATCTTGTTGTGTACACATGTAAACGTATCCAGGTGTCTAAACTCCTGTCTTTTAACAGTTAAATGAGAATATTTGCTACAAAGATAAAAACAGAGGATACTTTTTATCATGCTGTCAATCATGTGGCTTGACACCCCCTCACAGCAGTTTCAGTCACTGATAATAAAGGAAATTTCAGTCTGGTTCCTGATGGTCGTCTTTGCTCTTGTATGAGAGAAAAAGGCTTTACAGTAAATATCAGTCTATTTTATCATCAGATAAAAAACCCTCACAGTTTTGGAGTCGTACCCAACTCTGCAGGGTTGTAAGTCACTGCCAAATGTTTTTCAGTGGAGATGTTTGCATGTTTCTACATGTATAGAACTCTGAACACAGAGAGGGTCATGAACCAACAACAGGATTTATGAAACAAGTGTTTTTTCACTCTGTTTCTCATATTTTGTACATGGTTTCTGCTTCCTCTGGTTAAACTCATAAATACATTTCCACTGAAAGGACCTTCAACAAGTATCTTGGCAACATCTCAGTTCTCTGAAGTTTCATCCATGGATCCCTTACTTGCATCATTTCCTTGCATCCTGGTCCTTCCTACCAGAGAGGCGGTGTGAGACACAGGGGACCCATAGTCTGTTTATGCCTGGTCCTTCTCAGAACCAACCATTTCAACCAGCAGCACTGTGTTGTACTCATAAATTACTTGCATTGCATGAACTGTTCGTAAATTCACACTTCTATGGTGACCTGTACCATTTCAAGACTTTTAAATTCACAAAATTTGAATTAAGTGGTGAATGAGAAAGCAGATAAAAATACTGAGTGATTGTTTTTATAATTTTAACTCTATGAAAGCTGTGGTTGATAATTTATCCTCAACCAAAACTTTCTTTTGTCCAACATTTTTTATCCACCAAACACCTCATGTGTCTATTTTAGGACTGGTCTCTCCATTGTCAAACTCTGGAGATATTGTGATGTTGTTGTTGAGTTTAGTCCACTGTAGTGTCCACTCATTGAGTGATGTTTGCCACTAAGGTAAGTTTGTCAGTTTGAAATCCTCCATAAAAGCATCTGTCATCTTTACTCACTCATTGTCCCTCAGACTTCCCTCTTCTCACTTCAACCTTCTCTCCTCCATCAAAGCTGCATCAAAAAATGGGGGACACTCCTTGGGATAATGGGTCTGTGACTACTTCTGGTTCAACTAGAGGCTGAGAGCTGGGAAATATCACTTAAAAGCTTTGGGATACAGGGCTTGAGCTTGCCCTCTACTTCACCATCGGGGCCCCTGGCTACATTATCTCCTGGAGCTCAGTATTATTTTGAGATATTCAGCTTGTGGGTGGTAATTGGTCCATTCAAAAATCTTAAATTGAATCCATTCCCTGGTAATAGCATCAAGTTCATAAGGGCAGTGGTGTGTTCATTTGAACTGATTGAGACTGGACCTTATTTAACACCATCAATGATTAAGACTCATTTCGTTCCAGTGAAAGAAGTCTCCCTGCAGGCTGGATCTCAGTTTCTGTACTGGTTCATCTCGCTGTTGCTCTATATCTTGGCAGAGAAGCTGAACATTTCTGCCTTTTACAGCACTTTCACCTTTTCATAATGAACGTTCTCGTAATTTGTTTTGGTGCTGTTTTTATAGCATGGAGTGCTGTACTGCCTTGAGAGCTTTTCCTTGAATAACAACAGTGACCGTATTTGCACCTTTGATTTCAATCCAATACAATTTGAACCTTGCTGGCTGCGGTTCAAGTCAAGGCCAAGTCATTGAAATATATGATTCAGTGTGATTCAGTGTGGGTCAGTATGATTTGATTCGATTAATTACAAAGCAAATTGGTTACTGAATTCCATCAAACTCTGTAATGTAATTGTAATGTAAAAGTTATTGAAAAAAAATTGGGATACTGTGTCTTTCAAAATAAAACGTCCTTGACTTGTTTTAGTTTTCAAGAGACAGAAAAGTAGACATGCAGTACAAACTGAAATTATAACCATAAATAAACATAAAGTTTTTATCACACACTTACACCCAGGCAGGCAGTTGGCTGGAGAAATGCAAACATTTGTTTTCAGGCTCTTGTGAGTAGTTTATTTTACATTTAGGAAATAGACTGAGATTTTTTTAATGCCTTTTTATGATATACAAAAGCAAAGAAGTCTGTCAGTAACAACCATCAATATTTGTTTTTTCTCTACCTTCAGTGGCTTTGCAAAGTCATCGTAGAACTTAAAACAACGAATTCCCTTCTCTAAGTAAAAAAAAAAAATTGAAGCCAATTGAAAAATAAAAGTTTTTTTCTTCCTATGATGTCTCTGTAACTGTCTCTCATGAAATGACAATAACATCCACACAATGTTACCACTTGGTTTTCATTGGAAAGCTCTTGGTTAACTTTGTTCTTAATTTGAGGAACATTTTAGTCCCGCTTGGTTTCACACTGTCTGCTTTTGCTGAGGGTAGAAAAAATGTTTGAGGTTGGGGGCCGCTCATACTACCGCTTACTATTGGTAGTATCGCAGCACAGGCTTTGCTTCAGGTTTTTTCAGGTGAAATTTGTCTTGAAGGTGGTGTAGATGATGTCTTTTCAACATTGTAAAGAGCAGACCTTGAAAAGCTTGTCATTTAAAGTTCACGGCTGAATGTCTGAGATAAAGATAAATTAAAAGCTTTCAATCTTCAATATAGAAGTTTGTTGTTTCTTTGCCATAAGCTAACTAACACTATCTGACCAGCTATACAAGCTAAAATTACCCCTGGTCAACTGCTCAGTCTTGTGAAATTTAAAATACTAAGAAAAGTTTTTAGAAAATTCACCACAAAACTTCAGTTAACTAGATTAAGCCTTTAAAACTGGGCCATAGACCAGTTTCCCTGATACCTTCACCAGTCCACGGTGCTGCAAGATGGGTCACTGAATTAGTCAACCTTTACACCATGTTTTTGTTAATTATATGTAATATCAGAGTAACTGGAGTCACATTGGGCCCCATTTTGAATTTTTTGTATTATCAGTTACATGTATCACAAAATGAAGTAGAACAAACCATCAAGGAAAAGCATTTATTTGTCATGGAATATAAATACAGATACTGGACACAATCTGAAGCCTGACTGTGTTTACTGAGGCATACAGTGTAACTCAGAATTAATGTGCATACAGATTGCATCTAATGCAATCAGTCTGTCTCTCGTGCTTTATCTGTTCATTGGGTGAAGAGGCTGGAATATAAAATACTTAAGACAATAAATGATTGGCAATCCCGTTCATGGAAATCAAGACCACAGGTGGCAGGATTTTAGAGGGAACTCATCCCTTTTTTGTTGCAATGTGTTGCACTAATGTTAGCAAATGTTAGCTGTGGAGTTCATAGGCTCATTAGTTATTGATTTTGGAAGGATTTCTTTACAATTGGCTTTTGACTCTTTGCAAACACCAGCTGTCTTTCTGTCAATAACTTCAGTTAACTTCGGTTGGATTTAAGCACTCTCATACCCATTTTCAAAAAGTACTGTTTACAGTCACCTGAAACAATGTTTCCGTGTGGATGAAACGCTGATGACAGAAAAATTTTTTGCATTTACTCCTGAGTTCGTTTCCATGTGGATGGGTTGAAACCATCTTCAGGCAGACTTTGCAGCAGGAAGTGGTTTGCTCTTGTCCGAAACAGCAAAGCCGTACCAATTCCACACCATCGACTTGCTCTTGCCCCTTTTAGCCTTTTAGCCTTCAATTATCGCCTTTTTTTTGCAAACGTCATGTTTGTTTGTTGACACTGGTGTGTGTGGGAACTGGGGAGTGCTCTTGCAGGAAGGGGGAGCCTACGGTGGCCTGGAGGCACGAGACATGATAGGGAGGAAAATCGATTTGACGGTTTGAATTTTTTCAATATTGTCATAATTTAATAATCTGATTACGATTTAAAATCAATTAATTGTGCAGCCCTATGTCCAATACCAAGACATCACCCAGATTTACAACCTGAAAAAATAATCTGGAGAGAGCATTTGTGTTTAAGTTACTGTGAGCTCTCTGAGTTTTTACAAAACAAAAGAAAAATAACTGTGACAAATTTAGTACAGCTTTGTTGTAGAGCTGGGCAATTGCCTTCTTTACATCTAACATGCTGAATGATGTGCACCCTTTTTCTTAACAGCTCTGTTGTTAAGTGTAGACTCTCACTTTCACTTAATCAAAGTTTGGGGAGCTGCAGCTCCTACTAAGATTAATGGTGGGAAGATGTCCGCTGTATCTCCAAGACGTAGTGCAGCAGTGGTACAAACTATCATGCAGCCACAAGTGGAGAGAGGAGCGCAGGGAGAGGAGCACGAGGAGTCAGGTGTGTGTATCTGTGTGTGTGTGTCTGAAAAGCCAAGGGACAGAATGAGCACCACGAGACAGAGGCTGTAGCAGCACAAGCTGAAACATCACTAAATAAATCAATGTTTATCAGAGTAGAGCTGAGTCGAAACAGAATCAATTTGATTCGGGCATTTTGTGGCAATACCCAACTTATAAATTCAAAACATATTTGTGATTGCATTTACCATAGTTTCAACTTTTCCAATTGCTTAAGTTTTCTGCAATATTTCTACAGACGTGTCTGTTACTCCTGCCTTAACAAGCTTCAGTGCTTTAAATGAGTCCTGCCCAAGTTTAACAGAACTTATTAAAATCAAGTGCTATTTTACAGAGAACTGTGAAACCAAAATACAGTACATAGATCATCATCAGCTTCCATCATTTGTTATCCTTTGCCCGCATCACTAAGTTTCTAGTCTTGACAAACCAGCAGGGAGACTCAACTGCCACTCTCTCTTCAACGCCATCAGTTAATGCGTACCCCTCCTACGGTGCTGCCTGCTGCTCTGCGTACCTCCCTCTCCTCTTCACAGGCAATCAAATGACTACCATGAGAAAAATGATTGGCAGAGAAATAATTGGGGAACCGGGACAGTGTGGAGTGTGTCATTACAGCCAATCATCATAACGAGGGGACAGAGTGAGAGTCCATCCCTGGTGAACAGATGGGGCGGTGTGGATCCAGCCCAGGGTTTGGCCTACAGCTATTCCATCAGCATGTACGCACAGCAGAGAGGGGAGTGTACTGTAGAGAAATACATTTCCCAACATGACGATATCTCATTGTTTGTATTGTAAGAAATCAACAGTTATGAAGCAGACCCATAGAGGGAATAACTATGCAAGGAGCAGAAACAGGGAGCTGCTTAATCACATGCTGCTGCTGCATGATTGACAGTCAGTGATGGTGGTGTAGAAGTCAGAGGAGCAGAAGACCCTCAGGATATTTAAAAGCGCATATTAAAATATATCTGCAACTCTGTGGTGGCTGTTTAGAAATGCAGTTATGACATTTCTAGGAATAAATGCCTTTAGTTTCTCTGCATTTTATTATTTTCTCCTGATAGAGTCTCAGCATTAAATGATAACAAAACAGGCAAAGATACTGAAAATGGGCTCAAATTGACTTTTCTGTCAGTTATTATCTTGATGCAGCAGTTTTTTTTTCACCTTGGTTGGGTCCCATTTGGTGGCACCCTTAATCCATAACCCCTAAAACTGCCTTTGGGTGAGTAAATGTGAGCAGGCAGCTTACAGGTTGCAGGATCGACTGCTCCCGGGTGAAAAGACCATCGAGTGGTGAGATGTCAGTTAACCGATACAGGTGGCAGCCACGTGAGACCGTCCAAGCTGTCTGCTCCTTTGTCACTTAAAAGTGATTTTTGCTGATTGTGGAGGAGGTTTGAGGAGGAAGAAGACTGAAGTCGTGGGGATACTGGAACAGCAGGTGCATTGCAAAAAGGCAGGTGTGAGTTGGAGATAAACACCTCTGCCTATAAGATACCTGAGAGGAAATAATGGGCAGATTGATTCATATGCCTCACATATGCATGACTGCAGACTTCAGTAAATCAGAGAGAAGTGACTCCATCTGAGGCCTGAAGCAGTGATAACTTACATGAATTTTTTATATATTCTGAGAGATGCAACAATAAAATAAAACATGCTATAAAATTTCAACTGCGGCTGATGCGAGACAAAAGATCAGACATCTACTTTCGACAAATCAGGGGTGGCACGGTCGCTCATAATTGCCACCTCATAATTGAGCACACTCTTCAGTGTTGAAAATATATCTGTGATCAGCAAGATACCTTTCAGGTCCAATATGGGGCTTAAATTCAAACAAACCAGACAAACCTTTTTGCAACAGGCTGCAAACAGCTTTGCTGGCACTTAGGTGTTGAAAATATTCTGTTTTGAGTACTTTGTCTTTCACTGATACATTTTTTTTAGTTCTCAAGCATTTAAGCATAAAATACAAATATTTTGACCCTCCGTTTAAAATAAACATCTGAATGAAGACATTTGAAATCCAAGTGTGCGTGATTATGTGCAACAGCAATTTTGTGCCACCCCTTCATATGCTATTCCTCCAGTTAGGGCACCCCAGCCTTTATGTCTGGACACACCCCTGGGCAAAATCAGCACACAATGCACAAACTCTGTCTAATGGCCTAGCTGCATTTGGTCAGACACCAAAAGATGTGAGCCTGATTCATTGATCAATAAATTGCACAGCAGTAGAGAAGAGCAATCCAAACTCAAACATTGCATGTGGTGAATGTTTTGACAAGCAACAGCAGCAAAGTGCAACTAAGGGACACGAAGTCACTGTTAAGGATAAACCTATTCAAATGGCTACAGTCTCGGAATTAACTTGTGCTGCAGAGGTCATTTTAAACATCAACAACAACGCAAATATGTCCCACCCTAAAAACCCAGGAGAGGAAAAATGCTGCTTTTCACCTTGCTGATAAGCATTCAGCCTGACAGACAGAGCAAAGGGCGCACTCTGTATTGCTACCATAGATAGTCTATGATTGCTACTGTGCTTCTTCTTCAGATTTTCTCATCAGCTGGCACTAATTCAGTGCAGGTGTGATACCTGTGAGAGTCATACTTAAAGAGAGAGTAGGTTTTCACTGCAAACACTACAGCAGATGCTTATGCTGATGAGATCTCCCTAGCTCAAAGTACTCATCAGTGAAATTATCCATAAGTATGTTGGGGGGGAAATGAGAACCTGCCAGAGCACTTGTGATCTTAACTTGCAATCAACACAAAAATAAATGCAGCAGAGCTCTGCATCTGGCTCACCTGTAGATCTTGTATCTGGTGCTGAAGCCCTGCTGATACCTCTCCGCAGCCTCTGTGAACTCCAGGGACTGCTGAAAGGGTCCTTTATCGGACAACAGCCAGCCCAGGGAGCCCGGGGTGTCGCTGCTTTGCCCAGCTGAAGCTGCGGCTCCACCGGCCGAGACGGGCCTGGAGGTCCAGAAGCAGCAGCAGCAGCAGATCCAGAGGACGAGAGCCGCCCCCTCCCATAGCAGAGACAGCCGCTTATGACTGATCCTCTGACAGCTCATGCTTCACCCAGCGACACCTCATTCTCTCCGGACTGGGGGGAAGGAAACAGCAGTAAGAGGGTTATTCACTCATGTTAAGAAATGCGTTGTACAGAGCAGAGGTGAGAAGTGTAAAAGAGACTTTGAGCATGATGAAATGTGATGTTATGAAAGGACACTTACCTGATTGTCCAATTTTGAACTCTTTCAGTCTTGTAGGAGCTCTGAGTAAATCCTCTCCAATTCACTGATCCGGTTAAATGCATCTGCTCGCCATCTCTCTTTGGTTTTCACGCGGCTCAAGCTTGATTTCCGCTCTCTAGCAACTTTTATTTCGGGGCTCGATCCTTTGGAAAGCTCCGCTCATGCATCCGCTCCTCCTCGGCGGGAAGTTGCAGCAGCGGGGACACGGGCGCAGAGGAGTTCATTCTTAGGCTGTCCGTGCGCGCTCTGAGATATTTCCATGGGTTAAAATATAAAATGTAGATCCCTGCACCATGAGTGGAGTCCTTAAAGTGTACCCCTGTGATCCCCTAAGCTGTCCCTCTTCTTCTTTTCTCCTTAACAAATGTCGCGTGAGATGTTATTTTCCTCCTCTGCGGTGGGAGCGAGTGGATGAATGAGCGCCGTGCTTCAACACAGAGAGCTTTTCTTCACTGTTTTTTTTTTTTCGAGTGAGATAGCAAGAGGGCGAGCAAGTGCATCCCGATGAGGGTAATAAACACAGTTTGGGTGTATTCAAGTTTTGAGGACAGCAGGAGGATGGTGATGATGATGGTGCATCACTGGCTGCTTCCATCATTCACCATTACCTCCACATAATTCATCCTCATTATTTCCCATCACAGTGCTCCTCTTTGAGAGCTTGTGGCACAGTAGAAGTGTTAAAAGGAGCTTGATAATAGACTAATCATCTCCTGGTGGTTTTTTTTATTATCATTATTTTATTTTTCAGAGGAGCAGCTTCACAGACAGCAGCTCTCATGCCTAAACAGCCCACTCCTCTGATGACATGCACATTGCATTTACCAGAGAGTAATTACAGGCCATTATCAGGGAAAGGGTTTCTTATTTGATGTGATGTTACTTTAAAAGTAGTATAATTTTGCCTCCTTAAATTAATTAGCACAAATAAGGAACTCTTTTCATACTGCAGTTCATGATTATGTAAAAGTAAGGTTCGACCTACAACTACAAACTTTACACAGTTAAAGCACCTATAAGGAATTTTTATCACAATCATGAAAAAGACTGAAACTTGTACTAACTTTGCGGTCACACCAAGTTTTTGTGAAATCATCTACTCACCTGGTCTGGATACATGAATATGTGTATCTACACGCTTGTTAATTCGCATGGTTGTATCGAATCTGCAGAGTGCCTTGCCATGTGTAATTATAGGAGAGGGGAGAAAGAGAGGAGGGGTTCCTAGTCAGGTTAGTCTGTTTACATCAAACATAGCAAAGGATGACCACACTGTGGGGATTTGTCCCCACAGTGTGGTCATCCAAACTTCAAACTTACCATATAATCAGACTTCCTCACTCACTTTCCTCCAGCTGACTTCTTTTTTTAATCCTTTCTTGCCATCACAGACAAGTGGTATCCTACAGCTCAGGTGGCTGCATACTGTCACAATCAGTCAATCCTACATTTTCCACATTAATGAATCTCTGCTGGTCTGTTGTTACTGTGTCACCAGGGTGTCTCCATACCGATTGGTTATCCCAACGCGAACATTCCAGTTTTTCCCCTACATTCATTCAGCAGCGGCGCACTGCTGCCACTGAAATTTCACATGATCATTAATATCAATGCTCCACTAATGACTTCTACTCGCACAACAACACACGTTATTTTTGACTTGTTTTGAGTCATCAATGAGTGCATCCAATCCTGTCAGACTGTCTCCCATCAACACGAAAGGTAATGTTTAAGCTTATACATGATCATAGTGAGTAGCATTGATCGCATAAGTAGCATTATCAATGTGCCGTTTGTGATCTCTACTTGCACTGTGTGAGCACAACAACTACACAAAGTTATTTTTGACTTGTTTTGCCTATTCCTGTCGGACCCTCTTCCATTATCCAGCGTATGTACAGGCTAACCTGAACGTAACAGCATAGCTCCTTGAGCAGCCAAAACTCACTCTCACACACACACACACACACACACACACACACACACACACACACACACACACACACACACACACACACACACACACACACACACCAGCACTGCTGCTGAAAAAAATTCGAGGGGAATTACTGCGTTCACTTGAGTTAAAAATATTTTAAACTCTTGCACTCTTGAAGCAAGTAGCGCATTGGACTCTTCGCAAATTTGTGTCATTCGCGAGTATGATCCGCATTATTCGCGTGAATAGTCCGCATTATTGGCACCAGCAATTCGCATCGTCCGCATCGCCAAAGTAGAACACACGCCTAAAAGTGTCTTTGCACTGATTTTACATTTAATTCACCTCCATGGTTTAACTCGGGCTAGGCTTCAATGCGATGTAAGGCCTTTTTATGATACATAAAAGCAAAGAGGACAACAGCAAAAACATTAAAAATTAGTTTATCCTCATTAGAGAAATAGCTGATACATAGGTGATAACCAAAAATGTATGCATGTTCAATGCAAACTTCAATTACAGACATTCACTGTTGTGTGGATAGATGACACGAGAAAGAACTTTTACTAGCCTATCGTCAGGAAGTGGGGCTGCATTAAGTGGAATACTGGGTTTTTCTGCAACGTTAGCCCTTTTTAACACATGAGCTTATGTTAGCTTTGTTAGCAAAACAAAATAAAGTAGATGTTTTCATTGTAATTTTACCACTGACAGGCTGTAAGTCAATATTTCAATAGAACGATAGATAGATGTGTGTGTGTTAATTTTAAGTTTTTTTAATCCTGACCCCTTTGCTGTGGCCCACCAAATGAAGAGATGAAGTTTTCTTTTCTGCACAAACACTAGAACTCATCACTTTATTCTTGTCTCCCACCCCAGGGAGGGAAAAATAATGCTGGTATTTTCAAGAGGGAAAGCTCAGACCTGAATGATCATCAGCCATTGTGTGTGTACTGCATGCTATAGTTTTCCCCCCAGGATGCTACTGTGCTAATGCAGGTTTAACATCCCAGTTGAGTGGGATTATTATTTTGATGTTGTTCTGTGCCCAGGGCTAATCCATTAGCTTTGTGAATGAGTTATTGGATTTCTCACATAATTAGTGTCTTTTTGACACTTGCTAACACATGGTTTGTACTTGAGCTAATAAGGGAGCTTGTTGAATGTACAGATTCGTGTCTTTTTGAAAGAGATAGCTGTGCATATCAGCCACACATAAATAATTGTATGACAGAGGCTTGCAGGCCAAAACAGTAGACCAGCCTGCCAGCAGTGTGATTCCAGTAGAGACTTTCTGGATGGCCTGTGAGTACAATAAGCAGCACAACAAGCCATGCTGTTTGTTCCAATGGGGCTGTCAACATGAAGAAGTTAAATGGTTTAATGTTAAAGGACTGAATTCGCTAGGTTGACACCTAGCAGACTGCGAACAGCACCTACCAGACCATCAAAGTAATCACACTCTGAATATGCACAATTTTAAACCTTGATATAAAACTGCTGCTTAAGTATAAAATAAGACCCCAGTACAGATGTCATTAATAGAGCAGGAAATGACTCACTTTAGAAGCCACCCCTAGTGGCCGCTCAATGAACTACCGTTTTTAATTTTATACTTCTGCAGTGGTTTTCTTTCTCAGCTCTGGAGGTTGCTTCCCTGTGAAATCACATTACTGATGTAGTTTCTCAGACAGTGATGGTTGAGACAGGTGGAAGAACAGATGCTGATGCGGGCCCCCTCCTTCTCCTCGTCTCTCCCGGCAGCAACATCACAGCTACTTGACACTCAGCAGACAAATCTCTCAGACATTTGAAAACTGAATGACGGTAGAGGAAAGTTAGCTGCCACCAGCCTTCAAATTTGGTGGAGGAGAAAGCAGGGATGGAGGTCTTTGTGAGTTTGTTAGTGCAGCGACAGGTACAGCAGATGAATCTCTAATTAGACTCTTGTGTCTGCTCTGTGGGGACAATAACAACGATAAAAAAAGCTAAATTCTCTAAGCCAGAAGTTGTTTGATGTTGGTGCAATTATACGATATGTTTGCTTGGCGAGTCCTTTGTCTTCTTCTTTCAATTCATCTTGTCATTATGCTTGTCACTCATACTGAAAAACCTGACTGACAAAGGCCTCTCTGTGCTAAATGGGCTGTGATGAGCGTGTTTGTTATCTATGATGAGATTGAATCAATAGTCTAGTTCCACTGATTCCTCTTTTTGCTTTATTGTTACTTGGCCAACAAATCACCAGAAAGCAGGGTCATTTCTCAGGCTTGAAGTAAGACAATTCAATAATGAGGAGTCAGTTTTTAACCCTAAATTGAAGGATTATCACTGTTAGTGTTTCTTACATTCAAAGGTGAGGCCAATGTGGAAATTCTGAAAACTGAAGTTCCCCCTATGGTCAGAAGGGGCAGAATTTGGTTGTTAAGCCAATAGAAGTTTATTCTCTGTTGATTTATTTCTTTTGAAAGTAGGGCTGGGCTATAAAATGATAATGATATATATCTTGAAAATCACATCATCATCGCATATCGTTATAGCCGACCACTCAGTCTGCAATCTCTAGCGCAACGCTGTACGACAAAACGTCAAAGAGACATTAAGACCTCACAGATGCAGTAGCTTATTGTATTGCAAAAGACATGCTACCAATAAGCACTGTTAAATTTCATTTAAGAGTAACAGGGAACATTTAAGATTGACAAGTTATTTTTTTATATCGTGACACATTTCGATGTTGACTGATATGAAAAAAATATATTGTGATAAACTTTTTCCCATATCGTCCAGCCCTATCTGTAAGTATTGTTCTCCTAATTTTGTAGTCTTCAACACATTTTGATCATGTTTATTTGGTAGGTGATGCACATTTTAGTGTTAAGAAGACAAAACAGTGGGGGGCATTCTTGGACAGCCAATCAAAAACTGACGAATGCAACTGCCATTCAAACCAAAAGACCGATATTGTACTAAAATTGTCCCTATCCATTTTTATATGACTACAAAAATAAACCAATCGTAACAAAAAGTTGATATGGTTATGCTGCTGTATTGAGCCATGGTATTGATTGTGTCTCAACTGGGGGGGTGGTATTTATAGTGAGTCAGAATTACAACATTTTACTCAAATTAGAATATATGGTTTTGTAAATTATGCAATAAAAAATGTTTACTGCCTGGAGTCAGCAGGCCTGGTGGAGAGATATAATCAGACAATAGAATCAAAGCTAAAGAAAGCTCTGGAAGAAACAAAGCAAGATTAGATTTATTGCTTACCAATGATTGTGACTAAAATGCACATAATTCCATCAACTACAGGTCTTCTCCCTCATGAAATCTTGTATGGGGGGACCTATTAGATTGCCTCAGCTAAAAAGATTTGGCTTAAACAGATGAGGATAGAAGTGAATGTTTAGTTCCTACATGTGCAAAATGTTAAAGAACAAAAATATTACCAGTGTTGTTGTCCCTCCTCCACAGACAGACCAGAAACAACTACCTGAGGTAAAACTTTTCTTATTGTGTCGTCCAATACTGACACGCTAAGAAGAAGAACTGGACACAGGCTGTGATCTATGATCATTTTCACCTTAATTGTGTACTTTATTACTCATATTTGTTATTTTTGCATAGCCATGTTATTCTTACTGCTTATGACTTCAAATGTTACTCATATCATTAGCCATGTTTACCCCGGCAAAATTTCTTGATCCGATTAAAAATTTGAGGGATCAGATAATCTGAATCCACTGTTTATATGGGTGCAAAATCAAATAATTCGATCATAACGTGCGTATACATGCATGAAGCTTTATTCAGATTAGAAGCAATTGGACATGCACAGAGTTGGCTGATTTCACTAAAACAACTGCAAAAGAAGAGTTGTATTTACGCCTGTGCTGTCAACAAAATAACAAAAGCAGTAGTGGCTCATTCCATCCAATTCAGGAGTTTTCCCCCTGTTAAATGCATACTTAATTTACTGTCCTGTCAAAGGTTGCACTGTGCGTGCACATGTGACATCATCATGTTGTATGTATGCCTTGTCCGGAGGAGCAGACATGGCACCTGCGGTTGTGAGTTAATAATGAAACGTTCTGTACTGGCCTCAATAAATAAACCAAAGGCTAAAGAGTGAAGATCGAGTCAGGTAAGAGAGTCACAATCGGAGTGAGTGTTTACATGAACACGTTTCGGAATACTGATCGGTGTAAACCACCCCCCTTGATCAGAATACAATTTCTTTCCTGTTGAGCTGAATTGGATCAGAATCTTCTGATCTATGTTTACATGATGTATTTTTATTTCAATCGGGCATTTATTCAGGTTATTTGTGCCCATGTAAATGCAACTAGTGTCTGATACAGGGGTAACAAAGAACGTGTTTACTGGCTTTATGCTAACTTTGGTGAACTTCAGTCATCTCGTCCCTCTTTTCTCATCCCAAAAACGACTAAGAAACATACTTTCAGACTCTGATCTGCCAAAATAAAGTTTTAATGTAGAAATGTGAAACCACCAACTGTCAACTTTTTCTCTAAAGTTTGTCAAATTTGGTCAGTATCCTTGAAATTTTGACTTGAATCTCATAGTGC